TTTATTCCTTTAGCTGCTCTGAGATGTGAGGAACAATATTTAGAAAAAAGTAAAAGTAAAAAAAAGGCAAGTGCTTGCATTTATTTCCTAAATAAAGCACATAAACGAGGTCACGTTTTTGTAAGTAGCAAACTTCTTGACTACTGAGATTGGTCTGCAAACCCTTGACCACATAAGTAAATTTGTTAGATCAGGTGTTGATAATAAAATCTGATCTTATGGGCCTTAGAAAAACAATGTGTTTATTTGCTCTATAATAGTATTCTAAAGCCATCTATTTGGTTACAGAAAGGTTTATGAAAGCCAGAATTATAACGGCAGATAGTGTGAAGCCATTAATTATAAATGCCCGATTAAGCAAAGAGGACCTTATGCAGTAATTAGCAAAGCATGAGATCTCACAAGTAGCCATTTCCTGAAATAAAAGCAGCTGAGTACAGACAAGATTGAGACAGCAGTTGAACACGCGCCCTGACCAGGCAGCAGTACATGTTGTACTGATGCATCTCAAAAGAACAGTTTGCTAAATAAGTCTTTTGGCCGAACGGCGCAGCTTTTTATCTCCCTTACTTGCCGTCCCACTCCTGCCCTAATCAACAGAAAGATACAGACGTATTTGTTCTCACAAGGTCGTAGCAGGAACAGAAGTGTGTAAGGAATCCACCAACCACAGAGAACTGACACCTTTTTAGACCTCATATTTGCACTCCACTTCTGAACCTCAACCTAGATTTCCAATTGATGGCCAGATTAAAAGAAATAAAGTTGTCCACTTCCTGGGAAGAGGCCATTTGGCAAGAATGTTGCTGAAATTCAACAAAACCCCAAAATAATAGGTATTTTTAATTAAAAAAAACAAACAACATGCAGCACTCACAGGCCAGTAGAGAACTCTGAGTCACATCTCCACATCTGTATTGTGAAGCTGGAGGAGGAGAAACAAGTACGGTCCAAGTATATGAAAGAGTAAAGCAAGAACAAAATATCTAATGGAAGTTGCACTCCCATATACAGGAAAAATTGATCTTTTAAACACCTTGAGTAAGGAAAAAAAAATCCATTACACCTACACACCTAGAGCTATTTTATCTACTAGACTGAAGTAATTCTTAGGTCAAAATTGCACTGACACCTATGTGCAGATACAGAGCTGATGCAAAGTTTGAACATCTTTGATAATCATGGAAACAACAGGATGTTTTATTTTCATTTATCACAATATTTTGCCAGAGTCAGGGAACACCAGTGTCACTGAAAATTCTGTCAGAAACTATAATCTAAGTAATGAATCCAACAACTCCAAAGAGAAGGAGGGGGTGTCATGGCATGGGATGTCCTTTTCTCAACAGCTTGTTACTTAACCCTAGAACAAGTTTACAACCTAATTATTATTTCTTTCACCTTCTACCACTCCTAAACTTGCAAATATAACTCATCAATCCCAAGCATGCATTAGATTAATGAAAGCTCCTTAAAAATTTTTCTTAAATTGCATTTCTTATACTCTGATGGTATACATAAGGTTAAGGTTTTTATTTTCATTTACCGCAATACTAATATTGAGAATATCTGGGTTTTTTTAAGAGATGCATGTTTGTCATACCTGTTAGTTATTTAGTGATTAAGTTTTCAACTACCTAAAGAATTTTAAAAGCATTTGTTATAACAGCAAGGCACAAATTCCCTACTTCATCTTAGCAATTCATACCATTAACATACCTCAGTTGAAAATTACATTAGTTTTATTAGCTTATTATTAAGTGGGCTTAAAACAATACACTGATAAAGGATTAAATTAATACACATTTTGGTTTTGCTATCTATGTGAAAACCACTCCATAACTAAAGAGGTAGTTAACATAGAGGGAATTGTTTAATGCCTCTCGTGGCCTTCTTCTTAGTTGTTTAGGAATGATTAACATACACAGTACAAGGCTCCTATAGTCTGAGCTATGAACAGCATTTATTATTAATATTTCCCAACACTTGCTAGGCAAAAATTCCTCTTTCTGGAACAGTTAACTGGTTCAGACTGTTGCCTTAAGAGACCACAGAAAACAGGACTCCGAGCCAACTCAGTGTATAAGATAAGATAAAGAGGGTAGGTCCTTTAATTTCAGGCCTGAGGCCCACAGGAATACATATAACGTGCCTCCCATGTCCACGGGGTTCTACAATTTAAGGTGTTAACCCATCCAATCCCAGATTTATCCACCCCCCAGCACCTCCCCCTGGCACACCCCTCTGGAAATTAAGGCAGGGGGCTCTGGGACCCCCTCTTCCTCAATCTCCTCTTCATCACAGCACGTACAGTCCTTGGAAGCCCTTCAAAGTTCCGGGCTTGAAGGTCGCTTTGCCTGTGTGATATCTTGTTGTCCAGGCAAGGGTGCAGATGTTCTCAAACAGAATGAAGGGAGGGAAGTCTAAACAAGCTAACAGAATTAACGGAATTTTGAGGGAGTGATATGGAATGGGGTAACAATGTTGGGAAAATGTGTAAACTACTGTGCTAAAGGGTGAGGGATATAATACAGCTACTTTAAAATCTACATTCACTACATAACTACTTCTAAAGTCTATAAAAATTTAAAAAGAAACAAAAACTCTAAGGAAACAACACTTTAGAAGAAACTTATTTCAAACCTTCTACAATTCCATTTTGGCAGAACCTACAAAGGAGCCTGACGTGCAGCTAAGGGGCATTGCTGGAGGGAAAAGGAGGAAGAAGATGCCAATTTGATAGGGAGGTGGGGTAGAAAAGACCATGAGCTAAGAGCTAAGATGGGGTAAGCTTGAGTTTCCACGCTCCTTCCACTCACTTCATGCTCTTTCTGTAGAAAGGAATGGCAGAGCCAACCACCTTGCCTCAAGATCGCTCCTCATTAGCCTTATCAGGAGCTGTAGGCACAGGACACATTGGTGGCTAGGGCACTGAGAAGAAAAGGAAGCCTTTCATTTCATAGTTGTCATGGTAGCTTCAGGCCAGCAAGGATAATTACAGCTTGCTTTTGCCATTCTGGCTGAAAATGAATCACAAACCCAAGACACCAAGTTTGGTAATCTCTGCTGAGTTCTACTTTGTACAGCTATTTATATCAGGCATGTGGCATGGTCAGAAACCTCAGGATATTCAGACATGGTGGTATTATTAGAACAAACATGGAGGAGAACTCCATTGTTTTTTCAGTTCTGCCTTTAGCTGGACAGTTTACAAACGCTGTGGGAAAGCAGGATCGACATGTTTGCGTTCTGTTCACAGTGCACCTTCACTGGCACCTACAGAAGCCTGACAATCAAATCAAACAACTTTGTAGTGGGGCTGAACAGGCTTTGCCATGACAAGGCTATGATAAATTGAGGGCACAGGAATTCATTTCTCCAGTGACTGAGAACACATGCTGTTTCTGTATGGAACCACCCTCCTAAACTAATTAATTAAGTTATTTCTTTTCTTGCTCTTCAAACTCTTTTAAGACACTGAATCCACTTTTCGAAGGCACACTCAGGTAAATCAGCCCAATATTTCAAAGGCAATTTCATGAACCCCAGCCACAGTTACTAGTAAACAAACCCCTTTCTAAAAGGCAAGGCCCTCAAAGGGCCTATTCCCTCATTTTCTGGACATCACTCGTTTTCAGAAGCAAAAATTCACTGAAAGGGTGTACTGAGGTTTATGTTAATGAGCAAAAAAGCAGAAGATTCACAAAAAATGCTCAAATATTTGCATAAAAAATAAATGTAAGGTTTGGGAAATTTTCCTGAGGAATGGCATGACCTTGGTAGCACCCTCACCTAAAAATAAACTGCACTAGAATCTTCCCAGGAGTAACAGCAGCACTGAAACAGACCTGATAATGAAGGGGCAGGCTTAGGGATAGTATTCCCTGACAGTCATAAAATATGTGCCTCAAAACTTAATCTCTGGGCTGCTGGCCTGACTTACAAGAAAAAAATCAGTAACCAAAGTAAATTACTCTCAAGAACTACACCAAAGTTGTTTACAAAGCATTCTAAATTTTTCATAATTTCTTACATCTTGGATTCTTCTTAGTAGTACTTAGAAAAGTACTGCAAAAAATATTTAATGCATTCTAAAACTGTCAAGTAGTCTTACCTGGTACAACTAGGAGACCCTTTTCCTTCACAATTTATCTTTGTTCTGGAGAGAATGAAAACTTGTCTTATCCAAAGTGTCAATTGACAATTTAAAAAACCAAAGTTTTAAAGAAAATGTGTTTGGTAAAAACATTTGCATAATAACAATAAGTAATTCTTCCAAACAGATTCTCCCAATGACAAGTTTTGTAGGCAAAGATGAAGATTTTTCTCAGTGTATGATGCCATCTGTGAAGGGCACACCATTTGAAACCCTCTGCTTGTATGCAAGGTAACACCACCACTGTTAGACAGCGGGACATCTACAGCTCTGTCACTCTGATGCTGCTAAAGCTGTACTCACTGTCTGCCACTGATTTCAGGAAAATAAATCAATAAACAAACAAAACTGTGCAAGTCAAACTTTGACCCCATTCACACAATCAAATTTACAAACTAATATGGCACTCTGCTTCCAAATGTAAGAACATGGAAGAGTGCTGGAGAGGAGAGCATTAAATTGATTTACAAATGTGCAAGGACCAAAAACAAAGCAAAGAGGATTTCAATTTTCGCAAGCTATGTGTTTCAGGAACAAAGTCTCCTTTATATTAAGAATGTTTTACTGTATTTTTGGCAATCTAAATGAGTGTTCTACCATCCCCACAACAAGAATCAGCTGATCAACTAGGACATGTCTCAAGTCCCTTGACATGGATTGGGGGGAGGGTGGGAATCCATATAGAAATTAGTTTTGTAAGTCATTAAAGGATGAGCCATTCTAAAACATTCAGTTAAGAACACACTTATGCAACTACTTTACCCCCCCTCCCCAAAAAAGCAGCCCTTATAATTTCAGGTTCATAGTACAATGTGCATATTCATTTTGACATTATCTGTTTAGGTTATTGTGCACATTTTATTGTTGGCATTTAAAGGATTCTAATGAGATAACACCACTGACAGCTTAACCTTTATTAAACTGTTGATACAAGATGATTCTTTTAGCATAAAGTCAGATGAAGACATTACAAAAATTATATAGCTATTCATAGATTGCAATAAACTATTAAAAAGAACATTCTCTTTACAAGATTGGTCTTTTATTTACAATTAGAGACCAGAAAAAATGAGGGGTTTCTTTCACAATATTTTACTAAATTAGCATTTAAATAATACTTGAGGCACTTTTCAGAGATTATTAAAAGCTATGAACAATTAGATCACTGAGAGTTGAATCTGAAGAATATGTCTCTGATATTAACTGTTACATATGACAGTATTACTACTAGTTGCTTTTAAAATCCAGGTATCTGGAAGGTTAAAGAGTTTGTAAAACACTGAAGTCAGCTCCAAGCTTTCTGTCTGTCTACAGTAACAAGTATGCTTCTCATATTTTTCCCATACAAATGATTGTTCATGTATGAATTAAGCCTCACAACATAACTCGAAGGTAGGAAGCACCAGTACCTTTTATGCGGAGTAGAAACAGATTGTGACTTGCTGAAAGGAAGGGGAAGCATGAAGCAGACAACTCCATGGCCTCAGTCATCCCATTTCACAATACAGCACCTCTGATATTGATCCAGCACACTGTATTATTCTAAACACCATCGAGAACAACCTATGTTCCCAATCACAAGACCTAAACACGGAGCAGACAGATTTTAAAAAAGGAGATCTGTTGTACTTCAGTTGCTCCTCATCAGTCAGTATAAAACCTTTTGTGACTTTACAGAAAAATCACATCATATTTCTGTCCCTGGACTTGCCAAACACATTAAAATAACACAAGTCAAATTCTGTTCTACGTATATCCACAGCCAATGGGATAGAAATTCTTGCTTCTGATTTCTCCTTCTCCTGCGGACAGGAGAGCTTTGCATTTTCCACATTCCACCCTACACATAGCTTCTCTACTTTGTGCAAAAAAATAAAAATAAATAAAAGGATGCTGCTACAAGTGAGAGAGCTAAAATGCATTCATGGTCTCAAGCCAAGGGCACAGAGCAGATTTGATTTGAAATATTAAGTTCCTTGATCAAAAATTTAAAATAATCAGACAAGCTATTGGGATGGATGGATGGATGGATGGAAGAAAGCTGTTTTCAGTGGGAAGTCTTTTCTTGTTCCTTCTGGCAAATGGACCATCACAAAGAAAAAGTTCACCCACAAGTATCAGAGTTGTTCAGTATCATATCCCAAAATGGGTCCAAGCCATTTCTCCACTTCTGCAACCGACAATTTTTTTCTCAGTGCATAATCTTCAACCTGCAAAGAGACCACAAAACATGATGGAGATTTTGGAACTCTAGCTTTTAGTATTTACAAATTTTTTAAGACATCTGCTAATTAGATGTTTTTAAATGTTCTAACACTACTACAATGAACAGCGTAAGTTACCTGATCTTTACATATCTTTCCAACAGCAAAATATTTGGAATTGGGACTGGAAAAGTAGAGGCCAGAAACTGCAGAAGCAGGTACCATTGCTAGTGATTCTGTTAAACCAATTCCTGGAAAAGTGAATGAGAATCCTCTTATTCTTGAGAACAATTGAGAATAAGCACAAATTCAAAACCTTTTTTGTGTTGGACAGCTTCAAGCAAACTCAAAAAACCCAAGAAGGTTTCAGATGAATTAAAACAGAAACCATTTTCCATTTGTTAACTATTAAAAAAACCCACAGACCTTTAAATATACTGCAGACTTTCATTATGATTACTGTAAAGTAACTGTACAGTTTGAAGGAAAAAACCTGGGAGATTTTGGCAAGAGGTTTTGAAACACAGGAAGGTATTTTTGGAGCAGTGAAACATCTGACATGTAAAATATCAGAGGAAAACAAATGGAATTCATTCCTTTTTAAGAATTACCATTTCAAGGTTCCTGTGGACCAGGATACACACTGCTGAATTGGCTTTTTTTCCTGTTTATATCTGGAATGTCTTCTTGCAACCATAAGGATGCTAGAAATTTTCTCTGTGCAGCAGAACCCTGTTTGCATGTAATCTGCTACTTAGGGACACAACTCCTTCACCAACAGCACTGACAGTGTTTTTAAAATTCTTCCTTGAATGAGGCCAAATAAAAATGGCAATGAAAAGGGGAAGAGAGCAAATCCTAGAAGCATATCAGTATTTTATGTAGTTCTGCACCACCCAATTCACTGTATTTTTGGAATGTCAATCTTTCATTCACATAAAAACAGTTTAAGAATCTCAGTAAAGCAGAGTTACCTGTTGTTTCCTCAATGTTTGCAAGTTTCCACATGGTGAGTTTTTCTGTATGGTCAGGCTGGCTTGGATATCCAGGGGCAGGGCGAATTCCCTCATATTTAATTCTGCGTAGGTCAGAGAGATTGAGCTGCTCAGTACTACTGTAAGCCCAGAATTCCCTTCGAACCCTTTCATGGAGCTCCTCAGCAAATGCCTTGGAATAGAATGAAAAGATTTTTTTGTATTTTAGTTTGTACAGAATGATGCAATAGCTATTTAATACAAACAGTGTCTTAGAGACTTTCTTCCCCTTCCCATTTTAATTTTTAAGGGAGCTTTTAACATTGGTGAGAAATTTGACAGAATTAAAATTCACATGCAAAACTTATTTTGCTAACTCAAGTATTTTAGTTTCTTCTCTTATTGGTAGATCAGAGTTTTTTGATTGTCCTGCTTTAAAATCCTACATACTCAAAAGATGTGGACAAGTAACCTAAAAAGTAACTTCATTAACCTATGGTAGCGACATATCATTATAGTCACTAGGTCTTGACCATCTGTGTCTCATCCAGGTCTAGCTATGGAAGGCTACATCATTCTTGCATCCATGCTAGGATCAGATATAAGTATGCACTGCGGCTCTTTTTAGCAGAGGTCCTTTCCTCTAGCTGAAAGTGGGCAACAACTTTTCTGAACTGCTATTTTGCCAGCAACAGTTGCCCTTCAGGAAGAATTCCCACTTCAGTAAATATCTTTAGATGGCAACTAATTATGATTTCTGAAACTGTGCTGTAGCTTGAAATACACACCTAGAGCTAACCCCGCTTGCACTGCACTGAAGTGGCTGTAAGTTTGCTGAAAGTTGCAAGGAAACCTCATACCTCTGCCAACCGATCGCCGAGAGCCTTTACCATTATGATGTTGTATTCATCATCCTGTTTCCTAAATTCATTGCATAACTCATCTACACCAAAGCAGGCCACAGCAAACAGGCCTAAGTAGTCACGAATGCCAGAATCCATTGGTGCTATGAAGTCAGAGAGGCAGTAATATGGATCTGTGCAGGCAGAATCCTTTTCAGCCTAGGGTAACAAAATCAGTGCAATAAATCAGAACATTTAAAAATACATTATTAGTGCACTACTAAGCTAAAGACCAGTATTTTTAACACTAAAGGGCTTAAGGCATTTCTGACAAACACCTAACTAGTCTTTGAGCCACGGTGACTTTCCTGTAGTTAAATTAGAAGGAAACCACCTCTCTCAGAGCATGCTCAGACCACTGAAGAACAAAATGCCATAGAAGAGATGCTGCGCTGAACACACATATAGAGATATTTTATTTCTGTTTACAGCCAGTAAGTTTTTTCAGCTTATACTGTAGGTTCAATCTTTGTATTGGCCATTCACTTCAGAGCTGGACTTGATGATCCTTGTGGGTCCCTTCCAACTCAGAAGTTTCTGTGATACAAATTATTACAAAATAAGGAACACTCTTGTGCCAGCTGGGTAAGAGGAACAATAATTACTCTCTACCCCTCACAGATTCCACATTTGCTAGCAAAACTGATGGTTGATAAGCAAACTGGAAATTCTTCAGCAATTCCCTCTATAGAATGGCTGTGAGAGTTTATAAACACTCCTGGTTTCTCATGGTAAAAACTATGTGCTCAGTAATCCAGACAAAACTGTGCCCATGATGCAGACCTTACAGTAGTCACACATACAAACAAACAAAATTGATCTATCACTACTGAAAGGTTGAATTCTAAATGAAGTTCAAGTGGGTTTTATGCAAAGGAAAGTGGCCCAGAGGGAAAGGACCTGGGGGTGCTGGTCAACAGGAAGCTGAACGTGAGCCAGCAGTGTGCCCAGGTGGCCAAGAAGGCCAATGGCATTTTGGCCTTAGCAGGAACAGTGAGGCCAGCAGGACTAGGGAAGGGATTCTTCCCCTGTACTTGGCACTGGTGAGGCCACACTTCAAGTACTGTGTCCAATTCTGGGCCACTCACTTCCAGAAGATCATTGAGGTGCTGGAGCAAGTCCAGAGAAGGGCAAGGAAGCTGGTGAAGGTTGTGGAGCACAAGCCCTATGAGGAGCAGCTGAGGGAGCTGAGGTTGTTTAGCTGGGAAAAGAGGAGGCTCAGAGGAGACTTTATCGCTCTCTACAACCACCTGAAGGGAGGTTGTAGCCAGGTGGGAGTTGGCCTCTTCTCCCAGGCAACAACTGATGAGATGAGAGGGCACAGTCTTAAGCTGTGCCAGAGAAGGTTTAGGTTGGACATTAGGAAGAAAGCCTTCACAGAAAGGGCAATTAGACATTGGAATGGGCTGCCAGAGGAGGCAGTGGGGTCATCATTCCTGGAGGTGTTTAAGAAAAGACTGGATGTGGCACTGAGTGCTATGGTCTAGCTGACATGGTGGTATTGGGTCACAGGTTGGACCCAATGATCTCAGGGGTCTATTCCAACCCAACTGATTTTGTGATTCTGTGGAATAGGAAATATACTGCTCACTGGATCCTTTTCCAAAAATGGAAAAAAGGTAACAGAAAGAGGTGACTAAGCATCTAAAAAGAAATTTTGAATCATATCATGTGGAAACATGATTGCTATTTAAGAAGTGGCACAGATCTTGTAAATCTACCCAACTTAGAGAGAGAAAAGTTATTTCATGGCTATCACTTTATCACTTAGCTGAAGATTCCTATTCTATGACAATATTTTAACAATGCTTTCCACTCAATCCCAACTGCATCTTAAAAGCAAATAAAACACCTTCAACCCTGAAAAACAAAAAAAAATGGCCTGTTAACCCACTAGGTTAATACCATAAAGTACCATAAAATACCATAAATACCATAAAACCAAAGAAATATCCTTTTTCCACACAGATAAAATCTATGTTAATTTTGAGGTTCTTTTGTAATTATTAGAGTTAAGGAAAATATTAAATGGATCCCCAACTTTTAGATTTATCCTAACTGTGTCAATGTCATGAACTCAACTCTCTGTACTGAAAGGAAAATTTTATATAAGAAACAGAAGACAATTATTCGCTTCTACTTTGCTCTGGTGAAGACTCTGCTGAATTACTATATACATCAGACTGGAAGAGATGTAGCTAAAATATAGAGAGTCCAGAAGAGCAGTATGCACAATAGCACAGACTTTCATGGCCTTAACCTTTGAGAGAAGCCTGAATAACTGGGGATATATAAGATAAAAAAGACTAAGGAAAATAACAGTATTCCAATAATAAAACCCTTTACAAGAATATTATCAAACCAGATATTCTTCTTGAGAGAACCCTGGGAAAAGGCCAGGAAAAGTAACAGTAGTAAACATGATTTACATGGGATATCAAAATATTTAACTAGGCCATAAGGCTCTGGAACAGCCTTGCATGTGTGCTTGTTGAGAGCATTTTATATAAACATCTGCCATGGATTGTCACAATCCATCTCCATGCTACAGATAATCTGTTCCAGGGAACTGGAACAGAAGAACTTTAGTCATGTATTTCTTAGTACAGTCCTGCAATGTTGGCACATGATTGTCCTTACAGAATACGGTACTCCAGAAATTTAGGTAATCATTGAAATTTTTTTTCTGACCATGTTTGATGACTCTGAATATGTAAACTATGAAGAAGCCAAATCAGAAGACAAGGAAAAAAAAGGAGAAGCAGAATATCTTGAAAGTTCAATCTATCAAATTAAATGCAAATCTAGGTAAGTTTGATTCAAGCATGAATACTTAAAATAATGATTAGCTCAATCAGAATTAGCAGCCAACTAATTTTAAACTGCCCCTCCATGTGGTGAATTTTACATAAAAATTAAGACTATCAAAAACACTTATCTCCACTGAGCTTTATTTTCCAGGATTTTTTAATTCTAACTGGGTTTTAACCTTTAATACATTCAAGCGGAATTTTTCATCTAAAGCAGAATCCAGGGATATTAGAGAACTAAGGTTCATTAGGTTCTAATTTAGCAACACAAGATCCATGTAATGAAGTTATACAGCACATTGCTTTAGGATATCTTAAATATTAAAATTAAGATGGAAAATGCACATCATTTCTGAAAATATCCAACCTATAAAGCATTTTGTACAACTATTACAGTGCAAAACACTACAAATACTACAGTACAAATACCTGGATCACCACAAACAAGATCTTGTTATTACTGAAAGAAATGGCAAGACAACAGCTGCAGACAGATTACAATGCCCATTTTCTACAGATTTTAATAGAGCACTTCTATTACATTCTTGCAATGCAGTGGAAAAAAAATTCACTTAACAAATGTGCTGTCATTGTACCTGTTGCCTCAAGCCATAAAATTTTGCTATTGGTTCTGAAGATCCCACTGCCTCTTCCACAGCATATAAGTGGATATCATCCTGAACACTTCGAGCTGGCCAGAACCCGACCACACCTCTGGCTTGTAATTTCTTTTGATTAATCAATGTTTTCAGTAGATCTTGCGCATCGTTATAAACTCTCCTTGCTTCTTCACCTAGCCAAAAAAAATTTAAAAAAAAAATCCCTTTAGAAACAGTATGTTTTCACAACTGGCTAAATAGGTTTAAGAATTGTTGAAGATTGATTCACTTTCCACATAATTCTCTGATGACTGTAGTGATCTGTCAGCTACAGCAAATAGGGAGACTTCAGTGTGATTATGTCTATATAGCTGTAACAACATATATTTTAGGGGGGAAAAAAAAACAAATGCACAAAATGTTTCAGCCAGCATGTTTCAGACCTGGTGTGTGCAGGCTTGCTAGGATTCTTTACATGAAATAAATTTCAATACTCACCCACAGTTTTATCACTAAAAATCTTAGGAAAACTCCGGTTGGGATATTTTCCCCTAAGCTGCCAGACATCAAAGAAGGGCTTCCAGTCAATGTATTCTACCAGCCTCTTCAGGTCATAATCTTCAAAGACTTTTGTGCCGATGAATTTTGGTTTAACTGTAGGAATCAGAAGTACGATTTGACATGCTGAAAATAATTTAACATTGCTCTTATATGTGCTGCATAACTGATGCTCACCAGACTCCACCACTGCAAATGACCTCTTCCAAATTAATTGTCTTAGAATTCTCATTGTCATACTGTTCCCAAGTCATACCACACTCCACAGTTACAAAAAACATAAAAGGCATATAAAGTTGAAATAGAAAAACTAAGGCCTTTTGTTCTTTCACATAAATCAAGACTTATTAGCTGTTATACTTTGGAACTTACTTCAGTGGCCAGAATGTTGGCCAAGACAGAACACCGAAAAAAACCTACACAACTTACCAATACCTAACATATTTTATGAGCATATATACCTTTCATATTTACAAATCCCTACACAGAGACATGTTACATGCCATGATACTGCAGAATATTTCTGTAATTTTTTATGTAATTTCTAGGAACTTCTGCAGCCACCACACACCTGTTTAGATGCATCCACACAAGTGAAAACGCGAGATGGATATATGTGTGCAAAGCCACAAGCTTTTCACTTGTTTTCTCTGTGCTGTTCAATACTTTATAACACAACCTTTATCAAGATGACCTATTGAAAGTTAGCATCTTGTTGAGTCTTGCAAATGAAATGACAGAAAGCAGTGTTAATGTCACTGCAGGATGCAACTTCTTGTGGAATGCTGTTTACACTTCTAATCTTTAATTTCAAAGGAGAAAAAAATCAAAGCAACCCAGTACAAAAAACGATGGGGGAACGGTAGGAAAAAGTGTAAGGAGGAATTTCATGGAAATGCCATGTCACAACCTGTGTGCCACGTCACAACTATAGCACACCAAGTATGGTGTAGTAAGCTTTGCAATGTAATGAGCCAGGCAGACATTATTTTTCAAAGTGGTCGTTAGATTTTTCTTTGACTATATCATGTTATGCATAACTCATTGTTTTAGGATTTTCTTTCCAATTTTTTTGAAATTTAATTTTTAAATGAGCTGTGAAAAAATAAAGCAGAAACAATTACTCAAATTTATGCAAAACGATCTTTGCTGAGACAGACCCCAATTTACTCAAGCTGTTACACTGCTATATTCTGAAGTTTAATCAAGCATAATTTAATTAAAAATATATCTTAAATAAATACATTAAATAAAACAAAGGCACAGCAACAACAAACAACAACATATAAACTGACCCGGTTTATGGCCTGATAACCAGTCATTATGGAAACCTTTTCTTCTAGCTTGCTGTAGAGACAAGTATCTTCTTTCCTGTATAGACGTAAAGGTTAATTTCAGAAAGCCAGCCATCTTTCAGACACATAAACTGTAACTGTTGACTTCGTGGTAGAGTTCAAAATACTCTTCAGGATAAATGTGACAACCAATAATTTCAGTCCCAACAACTCCAAGTTCACAGGTGTAAAGTAAGATTACTCCACAACCATACCATTATTTTTTCCTGTATACTTCTAATAAACCTGGTCTACAAGATTTCTAGTTCCTCTGAACTACAACAGAGGTTCCTTCATTACTTCAAAATACACTAAAATACAGGTACAGCAAGATATTCTCCTATTGCTCAGATCCCTCACCTACACAAGACTAAGACATTAGGAAAGCATGTTTTAAAATACAGTGTGGCTCAGTACCAGCAAAAGCCACCAGTGCCATTTTCGTTATCCTGGCTGTAGCTTCCCATTTTCAGCTACTGCTCTAGGAGAGCACAAGTCTCCTGTAGGTTGACTGCCAGCTCCATGGAGGTGTCCTAGATACCATTGATTAGCCACTGATGACAATCAAGGATTTGCCAAACATGTTAGACTCATGCAGAATTTTCCCTTATAGGTTAGAAAATTTGATTTCATAAGCATTTCTGGAAGTTTTCAATCAATTCTACTGCAAGTTTTAAATGAGAACAAATACACCTGAAGTTCTTCATAAGGAGCTGAAACCAAGAGTAATGAGGCAAGTGCCAACCACTTCAAACGACGCTAAATCAATTACATTTGTACCTTGAGAGACTCATAATGTTCTTGTCTAATTTCTTCATATTCCTCTAATATTTCTTCAAAGAAATCATCCTTTACACTATTGTCTAAGAGCTGGGAGCACTGAAAAACCAGGAAAGAGAAAGCAGTAAGTACATACTGTAACATACTGTAATAAGGACAGAGTATGAATTTCAGACTAAGCAGTCTCTTTTGGACTCACTTCCAATTACAACTGGCAACACTAAATTAAGCCTTACAAATAATCTGCAAATGAGATTCAAACTATTCAAACTATCCATATTTGGAATATGAGTACTACTGAGAGCACTGCCCTACTTCACAGGTAGTATTAGCAGAGCCAAGTCTGGCTCTGAAAAGATGTGACAGGAAAATACTCAAAAACTTCAAAAACTAATAGTCACAGAAAAAACACGCTGCTTGGCCTACTTCTTACAAGTAAGTATTTGCCAGCTAAGACCACCCATTTCTCTGAAAGAGAATCCAGCCCAAAAAACTCCAGCAGCACGTTTCTCTTTACTAATGTTGCCATCTAACTAACTTCAGAAATATATCCAAATTAGAGAGAATAGCAGTTCATATCTAACTCTATTGCTCTTCACTATAAAATATCTCAAAACTACAGTCAAGGACTCAGAATTAATGTCACCCTCACTAAAGAAATGTGGCATTTAAATAAAAGTACCTAGTGACAATAACTGACATAAGTCAGGTGAGAGAACCACGTGGTAGCAAAAAAACAACTGAAGCAAGAGTAGTTCAGAAACTTGTCTCTGTCGTGCTTCTTCAATTTTCTGCTACAACATTAAGCCTTAGAGGAAGAATGAGAAGCTCAACAGAAAAACAGGGCATGTATTTTTGCATGGATGAAAAACTATAATTTAGAACTTACAACCACAACACTCTTGGATGCATCCAGGACATGAATTACAGGTGCGCTATATCGTGGGGCAATTTTAACAGCTGTGTGTGTTCTTCAATGAAAAAGAAAAAGAGTGAGCATTTCACAACTGACACAAAAAAACAACAAAACCAAAAAACCCAACAAAACCAAACAAAACCCCCAGTGAAATAAATCCTGACTTAATCATAGACTAGAACTTCAAAAGAAATTCATTTGTCCATCTGCTACACATGAATCATTAAACACAGATTTTAATAATAGGTACATAAACACTTTTTTTCAAAGAGTATCAGAACACTCCATAAATAACGTGCCAACTCACATTCCCTCACTGTCTTACCAGCTGAATGAAAATCAGCAACTCATTAGTTTGAGTCTCAGAAAATTTCAGTGACAATGTTCCAAACTAAGCCTACCAAGAACTAACAATTTTTTTAATCCTTTTTGCTCATCTTACATTTTTCCCTCCCACATGCTGGGTCTATAGATTAGCATTAACCTAATTCAGGGATGATTATTCCATTTCTGCAAGGCTCTACTTCAAAATTGGAGGCTCAAGTCCTCTACTCCCCTGAAGAAGGAATTCTGCCAGTGGTCAATAAATATTACAAACTTGCATCTTGAAGATACGGTGAACCTTGCATTATAACTATAGGAGCAATAAAGACAGGTAGTGATCCTACTTCTCCACTGTCTGTCAAATTATGAGACAATTTGCTAAAGCCATAAATATAGAACATAATAGGTCTGCTACATGTGCTGCTCTGATAAAGAAAGGAACGCTGCTAACAGCTTCTAGTGATGAGAGAACCTCTGCTCAGAGTCCTGCCAAAACTCTGCAAGCAAGTGTAGGAACAAAGACCTTATAGGTCAAAGCCCTGTTTGCTTTCTTGCATGCTAAGGTCAAACACCATTCTTTAAATAAGATCTAAATCTGATTCCAGGAAGCAACCTTCCACAGCTGAAATAAGATCTCCTTTTTCTTCAGGTGCTGTCAAATATTTAAAGCACTTGAACACAGAGGTTTACTGATGACTGTGCAACACAGCTGTGTAAACACTGTCCAGCACCTTCTGAATTTGCTGCTAGGATACACACTTCTGATCTTGGCAGCAATATGTTTTACAAAGATATTGTATCTTCTGTTCTGATAGAAACAGACAAAGGAAACAAAGAGGACATGGTCCTACAATGGCACTGTATCAACCACTACATACTAATTTTTATATTTTTTTAAAAAATAAACTTTACCACAGAGAGAATGTCACTATTATTTCTCAGCATCTGAATTTACCAAAGCAGCACAGTAAGAACGCAAACATCATCATTACTGTAAATTATGAAGAAACTCTATTGTACAGATTCTGGAGACAAAATCCATCCTCTCTCTCTTTCAAACTAACCTCACCTTACACCCTTCAAAATATTTATGGTCTCCTTATTCCAAATAACAACGTCTACTTTTCACAGAGAAAAAAAATTGTAGATGGTTCTTCATTAGCAACCTCTAACACATATACAACGTCTGAGAATGTACACATGAAGTTAAGCTTAAGACTGGGAAAGCAAAATTAAATATATATATTACGAATCCAGTCTTCCATATAGAATACCTTTACTTGACATATATTTTATAGACACTGTATTGTGTCTGGGCACATGCATAAGTGTATATTTATATGGATGGCCAGTCTTCACGAGCGAAGATTTGGGAAAGGTCATTAACCCTTCAAGCCTGCGCAGTAGATTTTTTAGGTGAGACACAGTGTATATTTATATACAGTTGACATAAATAAAATTACTGTTTATGTATTCAAAATTAAGTATATACTCTTCAGTAATTTCCATATTCAAGGATAAAACTAGTGCTACCTCGCTCTTAGCTACATTCATCTCTGTGAATAAATTCTACAAAATTGTTTGATGGTGGTTATTTGACATGGATTACAAGACCACAATGCCTCGTGTGAAAACACTGAAATGATCTGAAGAAAGGGCTCTCCTAAGACCTCCACCTAGAATAAAGCCTTCCCTTCACTCAACTCCTGCTTTTTTTTTTTTTTTTTTTTAAGGAAAAACCCTCCATGTTTGTTGTCAGTATCAAAGTCGTAGGAAGAGACTCACAGGGAGAAGGAGAAAAAGAATACAGTGAACCTTGCATTATAATTACAGGAACAATAAAGACTGGTAGTGAGCCTACTCTCCACCATCTGTCAGATTATGAGACAATTTGCTAAAGACAGAAATACAGAATAGGTCTGGCTACAATATGTGCTGCTCTGATAACAAAAGCAACACCACTACCAGCTACACAAAAAATGACCTCTGCAGTCTTCTGAGCTGTCACCTACTCAAGCACACTGCAACCTAAACGAGTCAGCAAAGCGTGACCCAAGGCCATTATACGTGCCCAAAACACATCTGTGGTAATGTTAAGACTAGGTGTCAGTGAGCTGTCAACACTGATCTTCAGGAAATCATAGTAACTCTATTATTTCATTTGAACAGACCTGAGAGAACAAGATATCAACAGAAAAGCTCAGCCTATCAAATGCAACATGCTAAGTATTTCAAAGCAAGCAGCTAGACTTTATCCCCTATAGGCCTGTTTGAACAGGACTGGAGACTCAGCCTAGTCATCAGCTTTCTAAACAACGATCCAGGAAAATACAGTAACTTCCTTAAAGATAATAGCTCCCTGATGTCAACATGATCATTTCTAGTCTCAAAATCCTGCATTTCTGGAATACTTTGATGAATCAAAGTAGAACATTCAAGCTGTTGGAAGAACAGAACTGTATTCACACGCGTATGTGCATGAACTTTTAGAGGAAATACAGTACTTCCACATACAATATACACTTGCAAAATACACACTTGTAAAAATTAAATGTTTAAGATGTCCATTATTTGTTATGTCCTGACTACATTTTACCTCTGTATTCTAGGATTTCTAAAACAAGAAGTAACTGTCAATCATAAGTAAATACATACCAGTATGTATGTTACAGAAAAATGGGGAAAGGGGTAAAAAAATGGCTGTAAATTTTCTTTTTCCCTACTTAACACTATTTTCACAGATATTGCCCATATTCCCAATTGAGATATCTTACTTAGAAGTAGTTGCTCCTCCAATCAGCAAAGGAATCTTTATTGCCAATCTCTCCATTTCCTTAGCGACAAAAATCATCTCATCCAAAGATGGGGTGATGAGACCAGACAGGCCAATTATATCTATTGCAAATTTACAAACACACATACACAAGGGGTTTAGCAAATCCACTCTAGAAAGACACAGAAATTATTACAGAAAGGTTTATTTCATACACCAGATAACTTCATGTGTCAGATAGAAAAAAATGAGATAAAAAGCAGGGTAGTCGTGAGCCTATAAGGAAGGTTTGACCCAATTAAAAAGTAAAAGCTTTCCAAGAATGACAATGATTCCAAATCCCCAGTTTAAGATATTTCCCAGTCTTCACAGCTGGTGAACATCTACTGCTCTGGTTTCAACAATAAATAAACGGTACTTTTGATAAGCAAGCTCCAAGCCTCAGAAGCTCAGCACTGAGGACCGAAATAAGACACAATAATTATAAGCTCTGCTCTTGGAAACACTTTCAAACTTCACCATCTATGTTCCACACAATTTATCTTTTCCAAGATGCAGTAGACTGTTTCAAAGCAACTGCAACTTGTTTCAGAAAGTTCGTTATTTATTACAACAATTCATTCTTGCTTTCACACTCACTGATCTGGCAAGCCAAATGCCAAGTTCTTTCACTGCTTTAAGACCCAACAAGGAGTTACCTAAACCATTTCAAGGCTCCATTTATCCATCTGTAAAACAAATACTAAAGAATCTCTCATGGAATTGTCCTTTTGATACAGGGTTTCAACTCCTCGGGCTAAGTTTCACAGAAGTGCCAAATGCTAAATAATTAATATTGTTAATGCAGCAGTTCTGATTTCTCTGAAGATAGTCTGACCAAATCATAGACAGCATAGGAATGCAATAAGCAGCAATAAAAAATGCAAGTGTGGTTTAAAAATCAAACAATTCAGAAGTACTAATGAAATCTCTCTATACCTGCTTTGTTCTCAACAGCAGCTCTCAATATCTTATCACATGGAGTCATGACTCCTAAATCAATAACTCTGTGAAAAGAAGTGAGATGACACACGATCCTTTAAATAATAAATAAAATATCTGCTAAAGGGCAAATACATTTCCCTTACCGTAAATAGCTGACCTAAAATTGAAGTTAAAATTGAGATTTTTGTTTGTTTCTCTTAAGACTACTTTTGGGAATTTTAATATAGGAAACATCTCTGGGTCGGGCAAAATTTTCAATAAGTCAGAGTTCCAGATGGCATAGTAGTTAAGAAAATTCAAGTGTAAGAGGCTTTTTTTTTAGTTAAATAAGTTTTTGTGGTTGCACTAAGTCTGGCTGAGATGAGTTAATTTTCTTCACAGCAGCTGGTATGGTGCTGTGTTTTAGATCTGTGACCAAAACAATACTGCTAACATTCTAAAATTTAACTACTGATGAACAGTACCCCAGCATCAAGGTCTTCTCTGTTTCTTACTCTAACCCTCCAAGGAATAGACTGTGAGTAGACACAACCAGACAGATGACCCAAACTAACCATAGAAATATTTCATGTCATATGATGTCAAGCTCAGAATAAAAAAGGAGAGTAAGGGGTTTAGCAGGGGTTAGCCATCTTTGACTCGGGAACTGGCTAGGCACCAGTGTACCCATGGGAGGTGCAAGGGGATTGCCTTAGCATCACTTGTTTTGTTTTTATTTTCTCTCTTCTTTCACTTCCTCTTCACTTGTTAAACATTCTTCTCCCTTCACAATTTTTCTTGCTTTCATTCTTCCTTTCCTCTTTCCCCATCCCACTGAGGTTGGCTGTGTGGAAGTGACTGGTTGGTGCTTAGCTGCTTACCAGGGCTGTCAACAGCAATGGCATTTCTGACATTATTTGGATAACATAAAAAGGTTTTGTGGACATCATATCTTATATTAGGAATATAAGATGATTCACATCAAAGTTATGCCTTATTAAAGTTTACATTTTATGAAATGAGACACTGCACTTCCCTTATTACCATTTTAATCCTATTAACCCTAGCCATTGCTAAGGTTTTTATTTTTTCAAGTAAGCCACCCCAGCCTGCTGTTTTCATTCAGCCTCACTCACACTACTCATGGTGACAGAAAACTCTATGGCTTCAGTTCAGTAAGTGTAAATAAAGCTCAAGAAAGCCTGAAACCAATCGACAGAATTTCAAGAGGAAATTAAACTGAATATATTGCATATACACAGCTCTGCTACTGCCTTCAACACTTTGTGCTTTAAAATAAAGGGATAATTTTGGCTCTTTTTAGAGCAAATGACAACTCAAAGTCAAAGCAAAACTAAAGGAATGAATGATAAGACAGAGTTCCAAAGGTGATTCAGCTTTGTGCAACACCTGACAGACCCTTGACAAAGGGCACTGATGGGAACGTGACCACTCCTTCCAGCACTGTTGCCAACCCTGCTGTGCATAGACAGGCCATGAAAGACCTGACTTTTCTTGAAGTTCTAACTTTTGAAGTTCAGAAACTCACCTCTTATTGAACAAAACATACCCCAGCAAGTTTTTAAATCTCGTAGTTAACAAACAGCTTGAAAAACACATTAGAAGTTTCATTCTAATCTTACAAGACTTTCTTTTTTCTCAACGCAACCCACACACAGTACTGCCCACTGCAATTGTTGTATCTCATTTCTTCAGACATTATACTTATAAAACATCATACTTATTACATTTAACTGAAATAAAACAAATACAAAAACTGATGTTCTTATTTATGTTCCCACTGATGTTAAACTGCATTCACCTCAGATGCCAATTTATTAGGAAACACAGTATTAAAGGAGGAGGCAATACTCCATCTTGCCCCACTCATTAGTAAAGCTGCCATGATCTGTGTTCCCAATCACAACTTGGGGAATAGAGGACAATTCCCAAGAAATGCCCATCTCTGCTATCACCACAGCTAAAGCTAGTCTAAGGTATTAATTATCTATGCATATACAGTTGTGTTCACAGTTAGTCTCTTTACCTGAAGTTGTTGCAGCCCAGAACAACTCCCACAATGTTCTTGCCAATGTCATGTACGTCTCCTTTCACAGTTGCTAATACTATTGTACCCTGATAAGGATCCTGCAAGTTGAAGAAATAACACAAGAGTTAAATTACTCAGAAGCCTCAGTATGTTTGTACAGATTCTTCAACAGTGCAATCCCAATCCATGTCCCAAATTCCTTTTGTAGTAATTGCAAAGCATAGTGGAGATAATACAGTAAATTATAAAAATTATTTTAAAAGATCCAGGTAATTGAAACTTGCACATGAATTATTCTTGCAAATTGCATGGATGTTATTCAAAAATCTGTGTTTAAAAAAACAAAATAGCTGATAAAACTATTTCAGATCTGGATAGCGTTTTGTGCAGTGCAATAACTGAACTCCTAAGGTACTTCTGCTCCAAATATACACCTCACCAATAAAGAGATTAAATAGATTAAATATTTAGAACAAAAGGGCATGAATACTCATAATAACATGCCTATCTCTGCATCAAGATCTATCTTTCAATGCAATGTTGAGAAGAACAAGGAAACAGCAACATTAGAAGGAAATTAGCATTAGAGCAACATTAGAGGAATTAGCAAAAGCTAAGAGACCATTTTTTATGCAACACAAATAGCAAGGGAGACATTTCAGTGCAGTGATCACACTACTTCAGATTACCCAAGCTGAACAAACGGGTTGGAAGAAGGATCTGCTTGAAGAAGGGAAGCTGTTCTGTCACAAGAAGGTCCTCGGTTAGATGGCACTCAGCCTGACCAAGGGTGCTACCAACAGTGCAACAGTGAAACTTCCCATAGCAGTTCTCCACCAGGACACAGGACACGGCAATACATTTTTAATTGTATAATCACTGCTGTCATTTGGAGCAGCTCCAGGCTATAACACTGGTACGTCTGAGTTGGTGCAGAATCAGATGGCAGTAAGCAACTACTTAAATTGTACAGAGCATATTCTATGCAGAACTACAAAATATTTTTCCAGACAGTATCTCATCTCCTTTGCAGATGGCAGAACCGAATGATTATCCTTCTATGAAGCATGTCATATTTCTGGACATCCTGAGTAGCTCTCTCTTTCATGAACCTACATTGCCTTCTGTAGTTGCAATATTATGGGTTAAAAAAAATCTTTATATATTACCAAGAATGATATTAGTATTTCCCATGGTCCTAACACATTTGTTGAATAAAATCTCTGGATCCCCACCAATGCTGCTGTTTACCAAAATCTATTATTTTCCCAGTGCTTCTGTTTTACAGAAGACTGGGAACAGGGAAGGGAAGATGGAGGTCTGTAAGTCAGCCATCTCAGTACATCAACAAAAATTTTGCAGCTGAAAATATACTGCTGGAATGTAAGAGGAATTTGGGGAAAGAGATTAATCAAGGACAGGAGAAAAAACAAAAAGTGCTGCCCCACATTGTATCACACCTAATAACTAATGATGATTTAATTAGTGATTGATATAAAAAAAAATTTAATACAAATTGGCTTTGCACATGACAGGAAGAAAAATCTGTGCTGTGCAGCAAACAGCATGGGTCAGAGCACATGCCACTTTAAATAAACCCTATTTAGGGCACACTGTGATTTCAATTGTCTTAAGCAAGGAGGTCCTCAAGTTCTGGGCACACATCCAAAGGGTTTCTTTTTTTTAATCTTCATAGAGATCTGCAGCCACAGCTATTTATCCTCAAATGTAACTATCAATGCTTTGCACTTCCTGGCAGTCTGTGACTAAAACAGTCCTGGAGGTTACAGTAGCCTGGGTAACATCAGACAGATCAGTTACCAGAGTCTGCAAATCATTTTCCTTTAAGTCAACATCTAACTTTGGAGACAGACGCAGCTGCTTTTATCTCACTCCCCAATTCTCTACACAGTGACAACATATTTTTGTAAGAGGAAGGCATTACATCCCTTTCCCAGCAGAAGGTAGAAGAAGCAGGAGGACAGAAGTCCTGTCTTTTCCCTCCTGTTCTCCTCAGCCACCAGAACATCTACACTTTCTTCAAGAGTGTTTGCTATCTTTTTAAGAACCTCCCAAATTCCACTTCACTTCTTATAACCAGAGAATTAAGTCCCAGATGATTCAGAGAAGATCCTAATCCAGTGTTCAGGGAAGCAATGGGGCAACAATTTTCAATGACTTTAGATAGCATCAGAACAAACCAGAAGGTGCAAAATACCAGCATTGCCATCTGAATTAAAATAAAAGGGAACAGCATGAGCTGGAGAGAGATGACACATAGAAAGGTAACTCGTGACAGCCAAAGAACAGATCCACTTGAGATACAGCAGAGAAGGCATCCACAAAGAGCATGGGAAAAGAGACCAGGTATTCTCCTGCTTCCATTAAGATTAGTCAGGTTTGATTATCAGGTCATTTTTCTTTCTAAATTATTTACTGTATTTGTTACATTTATGCTGGACAATTACACAACATATCCACAGCAAGTAGAAAGATGTCATGTAAGAAGATTTCAAGGGAAGAATTAGGAACCATTCAAAAATCCATAAAAGGGAACCCAAAGGAAATAGACAAATATCACAGTTTAGAAAAAATTCTGCTGTTCTTCCTTTTTTGTCTGTGTTAAAAACTAGGTTCTGATTAAAGCTATTGTCTCTGAGAACTCATGAAGACAAGGTAAGGTTCCACAGGACTAAGAAAATGTAAATGTACATCAAACCTAAATCTGATAGTCAGAGAAAGACAAGAGAAGAAGAAAAATATTTAACAACCAAAACCATAAGCACCTATCACATTATAAATATAGTAAAAACAGCAGACACGAGTAATATAAATGGGATTTTGTCCAATTCATCTCAACTCTCTTTTCTACTGAATACAGTCTTGTCAGTATGGACAAACAAGGTACATCCTGTATCTTCATTTTTCTGTTGCTCCTATCACATATTCCATTTACCAAACTTGGAAGCAGTTACTTCAAGTATATTCACAGGTAGTTGATAAAACTACTCTCAGGCATCAGCAACCGGCTGCGTAACAGGAACTGCAATAAAGGCCCACAGCAATCCAAAAATCATTGGGTACTTTAAAATATATTTTACATATTAGATAAAAAGTAATTTTCAGAAACTGGTGGCAAAACACACATGAGAAGACAACTATAGTCAGACCCTGTTTTCATAACACTTTTCCCCTGCAAGTTGGTCATGGCTACACATGCAGTGAGCATACTCTTCTATCATAACAACATCTCTTGAAGTCACAATCTGTGAAGAAAAAGGGTGGAAGAAATTGGTTTGTTTAGCTGGAAGAATGATAAGGGCTATGAAGTAGGGAAGGGCTGAATAAAGAGAAACAAGGTGACAGGCTTTGAACATGGAAAGGGAGTTACAGAGTTCAGCAAGGGCAGAAGTAGTAGAAGCAAGTGGCAAAATCTGCCATGAAGTTAGAAGTATCATGAATAAGTAACACTACAACTAAATGCCTACAAAAATACAAGAAATTAAGTTACATCAGTATAAAGGGCCTACAAAGGCTTATGGCACCGATCAGGAAACTTGTGATAACACAAGATCTGCACTTCATGAATTTCAGACCAACTTCAAATTATGCCAAGATTGTCAGTTTGCATAAGACTGCATCAACTCTCCAGGCAGTAAAAATAATTAGTAATAAATAATTCCTATATTTGTCAGAGCATGCTGTGACAGAGTTACAGACTGTATCTTGCCTCTTCCTCTATGCTGCCTCGTTTGGCTCTCCTTTCCTCTCTTTCTTTTTCCATATAGGGAATAAGGTGGCCAACTGCTTTCTTCATAACTCGAGCAGACTTTATCACCTGCACAGATAAAGGAGGGGGGGGCAGAATAAACAATAAAGACAAGGTATAGGAATAGCTTCAGTTTCCCCCTAGCTTTCTCTTATACCCATTCAAGCAATAAATGAAACTTCATTTGCAGACTCAGGTTCCAGCTTTGCAGATTATTCTGTGGCAGCAGGCTGGGCTAAGGATCTACATGACACTTTCTTGCACAGTGGAGCCTCCTGGACCACTCGCAACAGAACTGAAAGCTACAAACAGGTCCAGACTTGGAAGGCGCTAAATGCAGTAATTTTTATTTGGATCTTTTATCTCTCTTGCTCTTTTTCATGGGCTTAGACTTAAAACTGTGTTTCAAATAAAGCAAAAATACTCAGGAAGAAAGGAAACAAACACATAATCCTACATAAAGGAAGTCAGGTTGCAAAATAAAACATGAAAATCGCTGTTTCTCAGCAGCAACTGAATTTTTACAATTCCTCTTATCTGAAAAAACAGCCAGCATAGAATGTTTTGGCTACATTTTACAATACTAATTTTTGAAAAACAGTAAAATATATGAAATTATTTTCTCATTACCTGAGGCAGAAACATCTTCCCTGCACCAAAAAGATCACCAACAATTTTCATGCCATTCATCAAAGGTCCTTCAATTACGTTTAGAGGTCTAGGATATTTTTCCTGATTTAATCTTGCTTCTTCTGTGTCTGCAGTGACATACTTCTCAATGCCCTGGGAAAAAAATTGAGAAGCTTTTATCTTGCTAGAAGTACAACTTCCATTTAGTTGCCTTCTCCCAAAAAAAGACAAAAGAAATCACACAGAAAGTACAAGTAGATGCTTTAGATACTGATAGTCTTTAAGAATACCTCAAATGTGTATTGGAAATAAGCTTTCTTAAGAAACAAAACACTACACTTCTTAGGCATATAAAGTTATTCAAAGCAAGTTCCCACTATTAACAGATTTGTTCATTTTTCTCAACCATGCCATAAGAAGAACACAACACTCAAAGATTGCTTCCACAGCACAAATGCCACTCAGTGCAGTACCACTAAAGGACCAAAAAAAGCCCTAGGAAGTAAAAGCAGTATGTCACAAAGTAAAAGCAGTATGTTTCTACAAACACAGTGGAATAAAATACTAAAGATCAAAGACTTTAACTTGTGAAGTTTAAAGATAAACCACTATAGTTTTTTCTGTTATTGAAGTTAAACAGAGCAGTTAAATATATTATTAATTATTAATTAATAGCTTGTCAAAGAACAGCAGCTGAAGAACTTTTAAAGGCAAGTATGTCCCTTAAAGTCTTAGTTGAGATCATGTCTCTCAGAGCTGATGGGTAGGACAGATTTTCTGCACAGATTTACCTTTATGAGAGCGTATTCCAGCCTTTCCTCCACAGAGCTTTTACGCCACTCATCAGTCTGTACAACTTTCTTTCCTCCTTGGGCGTGATTCTGAAAAAGAGAGACATCCAGAGGAGCTTGTAAGCACAAAAACTACAATTATGGACTTTACTTTTAGAAAAATTTAGGTAATTTCAATACTGAGTCATAAAATAATTTTAGACTATTCAAAAGGTTTTTTATGTACATGCAAATCACGCTGCAAACACCTGAGATGTACTATAGGCACTTAGAGGGAACTACATCCCAAAGGGTACGTACCTCAGTGAAAATGTAAACAAAATAAAGTAAAATAAAAAGTTACTAAAAAGAAAAGGAGAGCAGTTTGATAATTTTTACGCTCCTAAAAATGATGAAATTACTAATCCTAAGGGTTTCACTTCTGGGAACATAATTTAAATTGATTCCTCGCCCGCACACTACACTTAATTTTAAAATTCTAATTAATTTGGCTCTAATTCAGTTTCTGCTGGAATAGGTTATGTTACTGCATATCACAGACATGTTTTCAATCAGGCAGCCCACAAAACTACTGTTTGTCATGCACACAGACTGTCCCAAACCACCACATATTCTCTTTGTCTCACCCTCATGCTCCCCTTGGCTATGAATGCAGAGGCCAAAAGGGCTTCACAGTGCAAAAAAGTTCATGACCACCCACCTCAGAAAGGCTTATGGAAGAGCACCTTATCCATTAATTCAGCCATCACACTTCAGGCAAGTAATTGCTTTCCCTCGCTCAGTTACTGGACATAATCTGACATCTTTCAGGCCTTACGAGCCTCATATACTTTTGAGTGCTCATCAGCAAGTTTTTAAAGATAAAGCCATGGAAACAATATCACACTCATGGGAACAGAAACCAGAACAAGTTTTCATTCATGTTTATATGAACGTTAGCTAACTTCACAGCTTCCTGTTGCCTGATTTTATTCCCCGCATACATCTAGTTTATAAAAAGGGAATGAAAGGAGGAAAATGTTGCTTGGAGATCTTGTAAAGTCCTCATTCTAAGTTAAATTAAAATTTGACTGGACATGTCCGTGGCTGGCCCTGCTTTGAGCAGGAGGGTTGTACTAGATGACCTCCAGAGGTCCCTTTCCACTTCAGCCCTTCTGTGATTCATTGAAACGGTACCAAGTGCTCCTCAACCTCTGGCCAGACACTTTAGCAAGGGAACCATTCCAACCTAAAAATAACATGAAGCTGTAGGGTCAGCATGCAGGGACCACAGTGACAAGCACTATATGCAAATCTTTAAAAACAGGTTGATCATACCAAATAATGAGGATGAAAAAACCTGCCTTTGGAAGCACAACTCTCATTGTCATAAATGGAACGAAGTTTCAGTTTGAGAATGTCTGAAGCTGTATACTTTAAGGAAAATGTTTTTTATTTCAATCTTCAAATGAAGACTGATGCCCTAAACCTGCAAGGATTAAGCTCCTCTTTTTTGCAACTGCGCTATTTTACTCTCACAATAAAACTACCACCACAAATAAAAGCAGAGATTCCAACAACAGCTTCCCAAACTTATAGACCTGGAAGTCATCATCCACTTTCATTTCTACTTTTAAATTAATCATTTCTCCATTTAAATTCACATTCTGCCTTCTGCAGAAACACTGCTTAAGGAATCCCTTTCTAATTCTCCTTTTTTTTCTTCCTCTTTATGCAACCTTGAATACCCCAATGGTGCCACTCCACTTAGACAAGATCACACTCAGGTGAATTGCTTAGACACTATGAGCACCATCTAAAATAGCCTAAGTACAACAGACAGAGAGTGTCTCCCTGTACTGGTTTGCAAAACACTGCCACTGTTACTATAAAGCATGCACCACCACCATAGGACAAACTACAAAGCAAATAAAACTGCACAGAAATAATATCTCCAGGAGCTACAAAACAGACAAGCAAACTTTCTTGTGCACTTCAACCTAAGAGCCACCTAACCGAGAGAGATTTTTGCTGTATCTTCCATTCAGAACAGGATTGCACCAGTTGTCTTACGAATGATAATCTTGAAACCTTCAGTTGTATAATCTTGTCTTTTATCACCACCGTCATTACAACATCTCAAAAACACTAAATAGCTGATTCTCATCCTGACACATTACATGAACCGGAAATCTATGCCACAGCTACAAACCACAAGTAACTACTTCACCTTTTACCTCTACTCCAAACAAACTATTACCACCAGAGAGAAAGGTTTACTCTGTCTCCCACAGTGCACTTGTCAATTAAGTTCCAGCACCAAGACTAGCTTGGTTGGGGTTGGCCTCTTCTGGGTTTGGTTTTTCTGTCGGTTTGTGAGGGCTTTCTTGGTTTGGGGGAAGTTCGTTTGGGATTTTTTGCTTCTTATTTTTTTGTTGGGTTTTGGTGTGTTTTGGTTTTTTTTAAAGAATGCCTATGCAGCTTGGTCTCCTGAAGCATATGAAGAACTCTGTACCAGATCTTCCATGGCACCTATGAAATTGGAGAGTCTCAATCTACCACACATTTCTTTTTATTCTACATTAATAACTGAACCACTTGTAGTATTGTCAGTAAATTCTAACACCCACTGTTATATTGACATATGCAGTTTATATTATCATCTGCAGGGAGGTGTTCAAGCCCAGGTGCTAAACTAACTACTAGTCAAAGCTTAAAACTGAAAGTTACCTGAGCATAGTGTAAAAGTTTCTCTGTTGCATCAGGATCTTTGTTCCAGATTAGATTCTCACACAGTTGTAGTAATTCCTTGTGGATATCATCATACACCGGCAGACTCCCAGCATTCACAATTCCCATGTCCATGCCATACTGAAGAAAAACAGAGAATCCCCCAGAAAGGGCTGTCAGACATGGAACTGCACACCTGCCAAGTGCAAACACATGGAAGCCAAAAGCACATCATACCTTAATTGCGTGGTAAAGGAACACTCCATGCATTGCTTCTCGAATGGCATCCATTCCACGAAAGGAGAAAGACAGATTGGAAAGACCTCCACTTATCCTGGCTCCTGGCAGTGTTTCCTATAGGAAGTGCACACAGATTTTTAGAAAAGTGCTTTCCAAAAAGGAAATCTAAGCAAAGCATTCAATTCATAAAACAGTTGGCTCCTGAGCTCAGTGCATTGGCTATGCACCCTTTGTCTTCCCTGTTCCAGATCCTTCCAGTTACTCGAATTCATAAAAAGCAATTCAAATCTCTGCAGAAAAAGATATAAGTAAAGGAAAGATCCAGCCTAGTTACGCATAAGCAGCAACCGTGGTTTCATAGACATAGGTGCTATTCTGAACGCATCAGTCCTCCCACTGCAGCTTTCCCTATTTTCCCCATGCAGACCTACTTTTGGCTCTTCCTTTCCCCACTCCTCTGGAAACAGTAGCAGCCAGCCTGCCTGCTTGCATGTCTCAGAAGCAGACTGCAGCTGAGCAGCTAAGCAGCCCCCCCTTCCAGGAGACCAGTGTGACAAAATAGCCTGCTCATGCCCCAGACTGCTACTGACAGAGGATCTCCTGACCTATCGAAGTGTCTTGTGAAACCCAATAGTGCATTTCCCTGGCTCCATTTAGGTGATGCTTTTCGCTGCTGTACTTTCTTCCACACATTTTAGCTAAATAAAAAGTCAAGTTACTGCAAAAATCCCTTTCACAGAAACAGGAATTTTATTTAAAAAGGCAGCTTTCTGCAGCTTCAAAGAGGTCCTTCTAGCTAGCACATGAATGTGATTCTTACCTCACTAATTAAGGTAGTATATTTACAGAAGAGAAAGTGGATTGAAATACAGAACTACTTGAAGTTGTTCTGCTGGAAATACAGCCGTATTGGGAATGGTTGCCCTTCAGAAGAATAAGCTAAGCTTATTCTTGCTAAGATAAAATGTGCAACATCTTGCAGCGGTGTTTTGCCGTTGTTTTTGAGAGGTGGGTGTTTTTCTGTTTTATGGGGGTTTGGGTTTTTAAGTAATGTTAGCAACCAATTTCAACTTAAAATAAGCTTACAACTCACTTTTATGGTTTTAGTAGCATTGATGAAATTTATGGCATAAAGGTTATGTTCTTCCATTCCAGTTCCTATGGTCAAGATATTAGGATCAAATATTATATCATTTGGATTGAAGTGCACTTTTTCCACAAGGAGATGATAAGCTCTGGAACAGATTGCAATCTTGGTTTCTGTTTCTGTTGCCTAGTGAAGAAAAAGAATTCTGACATGAAACTTACAGACTACACAAAAAATAAACTCTCCAGGAACCATTTACAGCTCCAGTGACTCAAGACTTAGAATCTGAACATTGCAAACATTAGAAAAGGATTATATATACGACTTTTGTATTAAAATATCACCACCCCTATGCCTGGAGTTTTGACTCAACTCATAAAAAACAACCTCACTGCTTAATGTTTCGTCATCCTGCAAAGCTTAATACGTGGGTTTTGACATATCTAAATTAATTCACAGATTCCACTTTCATGCAAAACATAGTTTCTGAACTTAAAATCTCTTTTATGAAGGAAGAATTCAGCATGGCTGAATAGCAAGAGACATGCTCTTGTATTAGCAGAGCTACACTTAAAGTTACTGGATTCCTTAAACATGTGAAGATCATAAGAAATTGCTAGAAATCAGATTCAAAAGTATTGCTAAGGTTATACAGACCTTTTTGAATCAACTTTGTCAATGAAACAAAACAACTTTGTCTTGTACAAGAATAAGGAAGCCTCACACTCCTGAAAAAATACCTCTCCTTTAAAGCAACACTCACCTGCCCCACTTCATCAAAAGCCATAACAACCACAGCTGCTCCATATAATTTAATTTTCCTTGCTTTCTCCAAAAAGTCTTCCTCACCTTCCTTCAGGCTGATGCTATTTACAATGCATTTCCCTTGGCAACACTTCAAACCTGCTTCAATCACTGAAAAATTCGAGGAGTCAATGCACAACGGCACCTGTAAATAACAGAGAAGTAAGGCAGGAGAATACATTCAATACATACACAGTTCCATGTGCTCTTTGCCCATTTGGACATAAAAATCCCATAACACTAATCGGCATTTATGAATAAAAGTTTCCACATGATTCACTTTCCTTTAAACGCAAAACTCAGAGCAAGTTTAACCCAAGAGCTTCCATGGCAACTCAATCACATATCATATCGAGATCTCTACTTCTCCCTGTATTATCTTGTGTTTCTGATTGAGATACTCATTTTTAGAGAATGCACATTGCAGAACTACCTTTTAAAACCATCCTATATTCATAGCATCTTTAAGTTTTGTGAAAAGCAATACTGTTATGCACTGCAAATATACAGATTATGGCTCATAAGTGCTGCAAAATGAACCTGCATTCAGCTTTTCTAACCAGTGAAAAGGACTAGCATATACTTATTTGAAAACATACAATATTAAAGCCTCTGTTTCACCCAAAGGCCTTCCCTATTACAGCACCTTTTCCTCTTGGGGAACAACTACATTTACTTATGAAGCACCTAAACTGGTTACTAAATAAAACAGTATTAACATCTTCTGAGGCAATTTACAACTCAATAAAATGTTCTTTATTGTGACTCAATTACAACCTTTGCAATATCAGGTTCTGAAGAAATCAAGTTACAAAATCTGGTCATTGCAGCAGGGCCATCCAGCATCCCATCATCCATATTGATGTCAAGAATCTGGGCCCCCATCTCAACTTGCATTTTGGCTACACCTAGGGCTTCCTAAAGAACAAAGTAAAAAACCAAAACAAGTCAGTAGCAGAAAATTCTAGTTTTTTCTCAGGATAAGATTTCACTTCCCCAAACTAAGCATGCAGCCAAAAATTTAAAAGTTTGTAAGACATCCCATACAAAAATAAGGAAGTGGCCTCTGATGTACAACAATACACAACAGTTGTTAATATGGGACAACTTATAACTAGTTTGTTCACAAAACGTGACGCCAGAGACCTAAAGTGCTGGTAGTTTCACTGCCTGTAGACTGTTGGTCATATGCTTAATTGAATGGTTTAGGATTTGCATGGTAACAAGGACTTCTGATAGCACAAGATTACAGGAAAACAGTCTCTGTGATGGTATGAAATAAGGGTCTTGCATCACAAGCTCTGTTTTTTTATAACGCAGGGTACTTAACTTTTGGAGAGTGACATTTCTTCCAGCTGCAAAATAATCACAACTGCTAAGAAAGAAAAGTAAAGCTTTTCCTCCAGCCTACATAGTTATCTGAACACTCATGTCTGGTCACTTTAGCTTTTTTGTCATTCAGCAGAGTCCCTAACAACCTGTGTTTAAAGCTCTCTTTATTTAACAGGTCTAACCTGCTCCATGACTTCTATGAGCTTAAGAGTCAGACTCCCTAAAAAACAAACTAAGGCAGTTTGATTGCATCAACTGTAACATCAGAACATACTCTGAGGAAGAGTCTCAGCTCCCAAGTTACTCTACTATTTGTTTCAGCATTACAATAATAATTTACACCAGTAAAGAATGAGCCATTCAGTCTCTTCATTTCTGCCCTGCAGAGGTTTCAAGAAAGCAATTATTTTCTAAGCATCTTTTTCTATATCAACTCTCATGTAGCATGCTGGAGTCAGCAAAGTATATAACAATTAGATGCAACCACAATGCTGACCAGGATTGGAGAAGGGAGGGAAAGAGCAAAGACTGCACAGCGCCGCAGTCTGTCCCAAAAAAAATGTACCTCATATGCTGAGAGGGGATTACGCCCACTTTCTTTATTCCCCTCTCTGTAAATCAAACCATAGATGCAGTACAGACCAGGACATTTTCTAAAACCTCATCAGCTGTATAACTTAATAAAAATGGAAAGTCATGTTTCCTGTAATAATTGTCAAAAAAAAAAAGTCCTTGTAAAACCCTTCTATAAGCAGCTGGTAAGCAGAGAAACAAAGAACAGTGAGAAAACAAATTCTCTGTGTTTTCTTAATCTTGTAACTGGTGTAGAATAGTACTTTGTGCCAGTAAAACAAACAACTAATAACACAGTGCAATGGAGCAATGAAAAATAAGAGCATCAGTTATAAAGATTATTGTTAAAATGTATACTTCATAGTTGCCTGCCATGATGAGTTTAGCAAACTTCCGTGATCCTGCAACATTGCAGCGTTCGCCAATATTAACAAAGTTGGTGTATGGCCCAATCCTGAATGGCTCCAGACCTTAAAAAGATATTTTTTAACATATTTTTAAAAACAGGAAAGAAAAAACTCTGTAAGAAAGACAAAATCCCTTTTTTAAGCTGTAAAATAGAGGTCTGTCTCTTTTAAGAATAGTGATTTCTCAGCATGTCAGTGCTCTAACGAGCAACTAGCAAAGCAATGCAAAGAAATGAGTTCCAACATATATGCCTTCCTCAGTAACAGTCAGTAATTTACCTGACCCGTAATAAACAACAGCCAACTTGTCCAATATAAATGTGAAGCTATGATTTTTGGACATCAGTGTGTATGCACATACACACCTCTCAACTTTCAACTATGTTACACCATGACTCTACCACCATAAGAGAAGCAGCAGCCCATTGAAATGACTAACAAGGACAGCTCTTAACTATGTACCCAAGTTCAGAGAAACAAGGCAAGTTGGACCCTTGGGTAGCAGGCAATGCAGAAGCAAACAAACTACAGCAGAACTAACTAAGCTAATGCATGACATAACAGGCCAACCATGATTTATTTTGTTTGCACTAAACTGATTTGACTTTGAGATTAAAATAACAGACCAAAATGAAGGTAGTGTTTTACTTCAGTGCATGGCTCAAAGGCTTAAAAGAAGGCCCTGACTATGGAAAACAGAGATCTAGACTTTGCTAAAACAAAAGATGTTCTAGACCTAGATGTACTGCTGGAACACAGTTCCAGTATGACTGAATCAACATCTGAGGCAACACAGGGCAGCTCTCTCACAGCAGGGGTACCAGCATCTTGTCCCAGCTCTACCATTAATTACAGTCAAATTACCCGATCTCTCTGTGCTTGACCCTGCCATGTTGCAAAGTGAGGATAAAGATACTTCACCATTACAAAGTGACTGAGACTTGCAGAGTAAATATGCTGGCTTGATTATGTTATACGAGATTTCAATAAAATGTTCCATTAGTCCTTTGGTCAAAACAGTAAGATTTAGATCTGGTTACACAAGCATAAGTTTGCTGGAATCAGGTAGAACTGGACATTCATAGTGTTGTTCTGGTCATCAGAAAACGGTTAATAAATTTATAAAGGAAACTTGTGTTAGTTATGAAACTCAAACTGTTACACTGTTTTACCTGACAGCAGCATGTATCCTTGAGAGAGAGAAGGTGGAACACGAGGCTTACAGAATTTCACAGCTTCAGCAATTTTCCTGAGTTACAGAAAGAAGAAAGTAAAGAGAAAAGTTTTCAACTAAAATTAAATCGCTCCAGACAAGAGTCAAACAGAACATACTAGACAGATACCTATATTTGCAATTTAGTCCTGTAGCAGACAAGACTAATTAGCTATTTTCACTTTGTGAGGCCAAAGGCAAAAACATACTCCCAGAAGATCCTATCATAGCTACTTGCAGGGAACGTACAAGGCTGAAGGTTTTTCAAATACAGAGATACTATAACAACAGGCCACTTGAAGGATATCAGAACCACATCAACTTTTACCATATTCATGATTTCCTGAGCTGAGCAATTGCTGATGACAGCAGCAAAACAACTCAACAAGGGACAAACACTGTTTTGTACTGAGAAAAGTTTCTCAGATGCCAGAATGACTCATGCTGCTCACATTCACTTTTTTTTCACTCCAGTCAAGAGTGACCACACAGTGTCCTCTAAACCTTTACATGCCAATTCTTCCCAGTTTATATCAGGGTAAAAATGAATCACAAGGGCCCCTTCTTTTTCAATCTTAAGTGAAAAAGGGACGCTTTCCCACTGACTTATTTCCAATAAGAAAGATATGAAATGCTCCTTCTGACTAGCCAGGACTAACACCAGCTGTATGGTATTCCTAGATCTTCTGTTCAGGCATTTCCACAACACATCCACACAACTTCCTTCCTTCTAGCACCTTAAGCTTCACCTTGTGGTTAAGATTGCCAGAAAGAGAAAGAACCTATGGCACAAGAACGCAGAGATGGGAAGTCTATTCTATCCAACAGTATAGAGGGAGAAGTAATTCCAACACAATTTTAGATGACAAAACCACAGACGTATAATCCTTGTTTGAGCCATGCCTCTACTCATTCTTCATGATACACACAACTATGAAAGCCAGGTTGTTCCCACTCCATATATTGCTCCTATTGGCATTGAAGTGATCCATCTTTTCAGGAAACCCTAAGACAAACCATGGAATATTGTTCCACAGAAACAGCACTTAGTTTACTTCTCAGTCCACCATAAGCTGTAGCACATGAGGTACCTGATATGTGCTGGTGTAGTACCACAGCAACCTCCAACTATGTTGACCAAACCATCCAAAGCAAAAGTCTGTAAAAGGGAAGGAAAGAGAATTTTGTTCCAAGTTAATAAAGGTATCTCTTTTAATATATATATTTAAATATTTTTCTCCATCTGTTAAGCAATTCAGGGAGATCACAAGAAAAGCACTAAATTAAAAAAACAAAACAATCAGCACTATATCTTCTCTTTAGGATTTGTTTTGAGACGTGGAATCCCAAGGCTAACCAGCAATTTCAACATCCAATTTTAAGAAACTACATTTGAATTTGGCCTATTTTATACTGAAGCCCCAGATGAAAACTTGGATGAGTATCAAAAACTAGTCATACTATATTATAAAAGGGCATTAACATGCAGCAAATACTGTGTTCTCACTGAAACACTGCAGCTCCAGACACACAGTTCTGTCTGCACAGATCAAGTGGCATGTGGAAGGACACCCTGCACTGGAATACCACCAATATCAGTGGTTCCTGTACACACAACTTGGTAAAATCCTGCAGGTTCATAAAAAACGCTCAGCTTTTTGAACAATTCCCAAATGTAAAAGCAAGAACGTAGGAGTGCAATGAGTAACACCTACAGATCAAGCTGCAGGAAAGCTTAGTGTACGACATGAAATTAAGTAGGGTTTTCAGTCTCCTAAGTAGTTTAGTCCTAATGTGATATCTCAAATCACTATCAGCAAATTGTCTACAAAAATCCAACTGACATATATAGCCACCTGAAGAAAAAAAAACAAACCACAATACTGTAACAAATATTCATAGAATACAAGCAAAAGTTCTTGTCTACTAGTATGTCAGATATGACAAACTCACAAGAAGTATTTCATACCTTTATATGCTTGGCAGTCACTTCTGGAGTTTCATCATAACCACCAAAAGTATTGGGGAGACCTTGAAACATGATTTTTTTAGTATTACAATTTGTTTAAAGCCCACAAGAACAGAATTAAATTCCATAAAAGGTACATTTAAAGTAGTTACAATTATAGGAGGACTAAAATGCCTCATCACCCTTGCAATCCTTACTCAACAGGTTATTAATTATTTAAGAAAGCATTCTGGGTTCACTGTCATAGAACTAACAAGTTACTTTCAGCAGTTTAAAATATTCTTACTCTCTTTTTAAAAGTAAAAACAATCATCTTTTCAAGCTACTTCAACTCTATTATTGCTAATGAGATGGAACAAGTTAGTTACATTTCATGTGCCTGTAAGCATAGGAACATGTGCACCAACACACCTGCGTTGGGGTAACAGATGATGTAGGCTGTGGTACATTTTCCAATTGTTTCAATGAATGGACGCATTTCAACTGCCCCTAAAGCACAATTTAAGCCAATACTGGAAAATAAATTTTCAAAAAATTATGTTGAAGTAAAAACACCTTTTACACACAAGACAGATGAATGTTAGTGCTGGCAACTGCTAACTCCCACAATCATCTAAAACAAAACCAACCTGATCTCCAATTTCTTTATTCATCATCATCAATACAGCAAGACTGCAAAAGGAGAAGCCTCAGGTGGAAGAAAAGTATGAGAGGGAAAGGGGCTGGACTGAATTGAACTGGAAACAGTAAATCAAGATTTCATTTCAAAATCCAGGAGGAAAGTGGCAGCATTTTGACAGCAACTGCAGCAACACGATGGCTCTGTATTTTCTAGGTGAGAGAGAGAACAAGTGGAATGAGACCGACAGATTGGAAAGAAGTCTTGTGCTACAAGAAAAAGTATGAAAAAAGGTTGAAAAAGCAAGACCTGCTTCCAGCTGCTAACTCATCATTTTCTTTCGAAATTATACATAAATTATGTCAACCTTGGAAGAGACCAAGAGCCACCCCCAAGATGCCTCATGGCAGCACTAAGCCTGGGCAACTGAATCTGCTGTATCTTAGTAACCGGGACAGCACTACGGCAGAAATATTTTTGAATGAAAAAGCTTCTTAAACAATTTTACCAGTATAAGAGATACAACCACATTTTCTTTCATTCAATGACACATACATAAATGAGACTTGCACTCAAAATGTCTCCACTTGTATTAAATAAAGAAATTTCTCTTTCAGAAACTATGTAAGAGATCTCTTACATATGTTTCCTGATCTTTCCATACCATTCTAGAAACCACCTTATGCTCCAAAGTGCCCATAGTGCTGCTGGAAGACATAGAAAAGTTTTCTCCTTTCCCAGAATAACAGTCTCAGGCAGGATGCAAGCTAACCCACTAAAACAGGAATGCTAACAGTCACATCTGCCAAATAACTGAGCCATGGAGGCTGCCGTGGAGGTGGCCAAGTTAATTAAGTGCCTGTATACCCACTTAGTTTCACAGAGGTCAAAAGCAATAAAGCTCTGAACAGGACTGGGAGCACAAAATGAGTTTTGACTTTTCCCATATTTCCAAGGAGCAGGCAGGGCCTTGGTAAGTGCTCAAGTTGTAGCAATAAATGCTTGCAGTCAGATTCACCTGTTGAACAGAATGACAAATCCTTAAGATCTGAGGGGCTCACAGGAACATCCAAACCCAGGGCCTTGAATATCAGAGTCACAGACCAAGACCAAATAATACACAAACCCCTTCTTCCAATAGCTTAGGAGTGAGGGAGTTGTTTTTCTTTGGGGGAATTGTTATATATGTTTGTTTTTTTAAACATATATATTTGTTTGCGTCTTTTCAACAGCCAGCCCTACCTTCAAAGTGCTTTCTCTAATACATCTCACATTGGCCAGAAAAACTTGACAATAATGCTTTTATTCTCATTTCCCAATTTGGTGTTTACATATATTTGAATCCATCATACAGATCCCCTGGATACAAATAGTATGAACAAGGAATACACAATTCATTACAGCAATGAGGCTCTGGAATTTATTCCAAGTGGGAGCTCATCCCTCAAGCTTTTCAAAGCAAAGTAAGGTAAGAATGGTTAGCAAGACTATCCTTATCAAATGCAGACAAATGCAATGTATTTCTTACTGTTAAGTCATTCAATTTACAAGCTTTCAGCTCATACTCTCCCACACTACAAACTGCCTGAATGATTACACATTACAGAGGTTGCTGACAAGTATGTCCATGACCATGACACAATCCAAGCATTAGCTGTCTCAAAACTGTAGCACAGACATGCAAATTCATTCAGAAACAAAAAGTAGCTTCTGTGGCCAGTATCATCTCCCCACAGCACTCAACAACATCGTGAAAGAAGATGTGAGCAAAGCAAACTATTAACTATGCCTTAAGGGCCAGCAGCCCTGAGCCAGGTTGCTGGTATGCCATCACTGCTACCCTAGTGTAATAACCATCAAACATTCATCTCAAACATCTCCTCCCTCCCTTGCTCATTTCTTCACAGCAGTCACACATCAACTCCTAAGGCTGCAGAGTGCCCTTGGGACCAATACAAAACCCACATTAGGGCCTGAAACTCAGTTTATGTCTCCTTAAAACTACCACAGTAGAAACAACCATAGGATCTCAACACATCTGAGCATCTTTCATGGCAAGCCGCCTGCCACACATCTTTCAGCACTTAGTAAGCACAGTTCATGAGCTTCTCAGCTACCACCTCTATCAACCAGACATAATGCTCACACTTTTTAGGGTGGACTCCAAAACAAACTGACTTAAGGATGTCAAATAACACTAAAGAGGGCATAGAAAACCTAAATAGAAACATGTGAACACACATAACACGATTCCTAGGATACTACTATTAATCAGCTTTTTCACAACCCTAAAGCCACTCTGTACCAATCTGGCCATACAAGCAACATTGAATGCAATCTGTTCCCACTGAAACCCTTCTGCCACAGTGTTGTATAGCAGCCTTTACATAAATGAGAAACAGGCCCTAAGCATTCAGTCCCATAAGATAGTTTTTATGAAGTATGCTTTAATAAATTCTTGATTTCTTCTCCAGTGCCCTTCTCTTGAGAAGCAAGAGTTAGAGAAAGATTATCTGAGACAGACTCATGCCAAATATGGATCACCAGGCTGTGATGCTGAGAGGAGTCAACTACTACACTGTTCCAAGAGCCTCCATATGTTACTTCTGGAACACCGTCTGGTCTGGGAAAGTGGAGCCTCAAGGGCAGTCAGGAAAGCTGTGAATGCAGTCTTCTGCTTTTGTATCACTGAGATGACAGATTGCGCAGTTTAGCTGGAATTTTGTTGTAAAAACAAACAATGGCTCATCACAATGTGCATGGTGTGCACTACTAACAGTGACTTAGTGATCCTAGACAGAATATCTTAGGAAAAAAATCTATTTCCTGCGTAAGTTTTTGTGTGAAGAACCAACTTGAGAGTAAAAATGGTAAAGAGGGAAGAGGAGGCAAGAAGACGGTAGAACAGGATATAGAAACACAAAAGAATAGGGAAACAGGGAACACTATTCAAATGGGCATGCAAAACCTTGTACAATAACCAAATCTGCCACATTATCCATTTGCACAGAACTTAATCTCATGCTTATTTCAACTTTTCTGTCTGAACAGAAAAGAATGCAAGTAAATGGAGGCATCAGGAGCTCTCAAAATAACTATGCACATCCTTGAGAAAAATACTCAGACCACATTTTTGTACGAGTTCAGTAAAAAGAACACCGTAATGATATCTTAACAATTTTCTCATTCAAGACACCCAGAAACATTCCCAGTTGGCACTGCTTCCCTCTAAGAAAGAGATGTAAGCCCTGCCTGTACCAGGGATTGGCTCCTCGGACAACCCAAAAATAGTAGGAGATAGCAAACTACAGTTTCAGATTTTGACTTAATTTTGATTTCACTGTAAACACAAACCCCCAGATTATTTAAAGCAATTAATTAAAAATTCAGCTGACTTTAGAAACAATTTCTGCTGAGGGAATGACAGTAGAACATGTTAGCAATGCATATGAGTAAATATGATCAGAGTTTGTATAGCTTCCATTTAGCTGCAAGTAGGGCGTTAAAATAGAAAAGAATCACAATTTACAGATAACTTACTAAAAGAAGAAATGATACATTCCCTTACCAAAGTGGCTTACTGTGGGAAACACTAATGACAAATGCCTCTCCTGTCTGGCCTGAGAGGGTACGCCCACTCTTATCCACAATGGTTCCAGAAACCTAAATATCAATTGAACACAGAGAAAGGAGAATTAAATGCACAACAAAATGAAGAACTTAAATGGCTGAACTGCTATAAGTCAAAGCAGAGGGACCTGTGCTCCACTCAAAGGGATAAGACACAACCCAAACAGAAAAATGAAACCTCATGCTACTTGAAAATATGGCAGACTTTGCTTCATTTCATCCTTCAAGCACTGGTTCTTATTGTCCCTAAGACAGAAAGCCTGAAAAAAAATCATCGTCAGACCTTTCCTGCAGAAATACAAAGAATTAACTGGACTGAAGTCATTCTTCCGTCTTCAGCTTGATCAGCTGGACAGAGCTACCCAAGGCTGATTTCACAAAGCTCTTCATGTAAGAGGTTTTATTTTCACAATCATGTGAAAAAAGTACATTTTCAATATACTAATTTCCTTCATTTCAAAGCACTTTAATCAACTGCCATCTCAGCTTGTTCACAAATCAAGCTTAAGCACTTGTAAAATATTAAAATATACTTACAAATATGGGTCGGGGAGCATATTCTTCTTCAAACAACATCTGGAGTGCAAAAAGAGCTGCCTACAGAAGAAAATGTTGCAAAATATTAATTTTGCTTTGGGAATTCTTCAGTTTGTTGTTTGGAAGGATTTTTGTTTCTGTGGGTTTGCTGCCTTTTTCTTTAATTATTACTTTTTATGGCTGTTTATGCAACTTGCTGCCTTATATGGCCTGCCAGAACTTACTACACTCAAGAAGTTTTACCCTTATCCCTAACATTTTCTAGATGTTCCAAAACACATCTTGGTACCAAGTAGAAAGGAAGTATCACAGGGTAACCAAATAAGACCAAGACTATTCTGAAACCAAATCATATCAGCAAGTACTTCTCCCTCACATCTGCAGCACAACCCTCGCCCCAAACATGGTTCTATGTACTATCCTCATTACACACTCACTGCCCTTTAGTCTGTTCAGATACCCAGTTCCAAAGGGTTCTAATCTCCACAAATTTTTACAGTAAGGACTGTAAGCGACTCCTCGGAAGGTCCCGAAAATGTCCTGCCTCCTTAGGATAAGAAAGCTACATGTGAACAGGAGCTCAGCATAACATTAAGTCTACAGGTTCCTAGCCAAACCTCCATCATGACTGGCCAAATCTGCAAACGATAAGTCATGCCACTGAATACATTAATAAGCCTGTGGCAAAAGTCTAAAGAAATGCCATGTGCACATCCAGCCAGACTTTTCCATGTAAAATTGCAAGACAGTTTTAAGGACTCTAACTCCACCACCTGCACTGAGTAGTTATTAGATAAAGAAGGAGGTGTCAAAATCACATGAAATGTGGCATATTTCAACATTTTCTTCCTTCTCTTCCCTTCTAAGCCTCTATTCCAATTGTTCTTTTTTAAACCTGATGTCAGAGTTCCCCCCAAAAAACACCTTTTAATAGAACTGTCTTACAAGCCTTTGCACATCTGCAACCAGATACACTGGACATTCCCTCTCCAGTGTGCATCACAAGCATCCTTTCGGCAGACAAGCTTATATTGAAAAATACAAACATGAGATGCCACTGGAGATGGTCTGCAATACAGCAGAGCTTCTGGGAATAAGCAGACAGCTGGCACGGACAGCCAGAACGATACAAATGGCACATATTAAAAGGCAAAGGAAGCATTCTGGAAAAGGCTGATTAAAAGCCATCTCCTCATATTCTACCCATTTGCTATCAACTGAAGAGTCTTTTCATGTATTTAGTAAGCACTAGCTGATAGCTCTTAAAAAATTTCCTTACTTATATTACTGAGGTGGGTTTTTTCCAGAAGTCTCACCTTAGCATTGGCGGTATCAAATATGGTTTCCACTAACAAGATATCAACTCCTCCATCCAAAAGTCCTTTGGCTTGTTCCTTATAGGCTTCCACCAGTTCATCAAAAGCTGTAAAACAGGAAGGATGTTAGTTTCATCTGAAGGTATCTCTTACAAGACCACCGCCTAAGTTCAATAATTCAATGGTTATAAATACTTATGTTCCTGTAATCTGGTCTCTCCACAGATGGTGACACGGAGAGTGTCCTGTTTGTTGGACCCATGGCTCCAGCAACATATCTCCTAATTCCTAAACAAAGACAAGGGAGGAGGAAAAAAGGGAAAAAAAAAAGAAAAAAGGAAAAATAAGGAAACTAAACAATTTACCTCTGGCTTTACAATGACAGTTAATATAAAATATCTCCAAGGACACCAAGACATGCATATCATTCAGACAGAAGAACATCTATGAAAAGGGCAATTGGCTCAATGAATTTTTCTTCTAAGAATCATCTGTCTCTGACACAGGAAACTACATTGAATTACTTTAAATGCACAGCACAGAACTGTCCTGGTATTTTTCACTAGACAACCTTATTTGAATATTCCAGCATGTGCCATAAAAACCCCTACTTTCTGAAAGCATATTTCAAATCTTACATTCTTATTGCATACCATAAATCACATCAGTAAGGTGTTATCTGGACAGCAGCAGCACTGTTAGCTTGAAATACAGTTTGATTGTAGAATACAAGCAGAAATTACTAGTCTTTGAAAGACAGCATTGCCTACAGCAATAAATGAGCTAAAACCCCCCTCACATAATGCCTGGAAGATAAAAGATTGAACATTTACAGATGACAGTCACATACTAAGATCGTTCCAGTAGCTGCTGAATAAAGTTAAACCACCAGCCATACACTAGGATTAGCAGGTAATCCATGTTCATCTACAATCAGCTATCCTAGTTTTGTAGTACAAAGACTGGTGCCATACAAATCTAAGGAACTTCTAACGGTTCCTGCTGAGTTTATTTTCTCTAAAACACATCTGAAGATGTGTATCACCCACAGTCTAAAACAGGCACAGGACAGCTATCCTGCACAACCCATTAAGGACCAGATCCTTCAAACATGATGAAATTAGGGTGATATGAATAGAGATATAAAATTGCAGCTACTGTGCCTAACTTGCAGAGTCTCATGTTATGTCCCATCATGTAAAACATCCAGCTATCCTCTTGTTAGCAACATTTCAAAGATTGAAGGGAAACAGTCAAAACCACAAATGAGTAAGAAATTAAAATAAATACTGCTTACCTGTCTGAGCAGTTACAGTGTCTGCTGCTTTTCTGGCTACCTGTGCAGAGACTCTGTTTAACCGATATGCCTGGAACAATTCCAGAAAATTACTGAGCAACATTTAGTTGGGCACAGCCTAAGTCATTCTCAAAGAAACACAACACTTCATTCAGTAGCTCATGGTACAATCTGATGGTTCCCCAGGTCACACAAATATATATAAGCACTATTACAGTGTTTCAAAAGGAACAGCTCTATACATCTCAGCAACACAGTTACATGGCAGGTGTCATCCCACACATGCCCCAACCAACAACTGTTAATCATAAAATTTCAATCTGTAAGGTACTGATTAAATCCTGCTGAAGTCAACAGAAGCTGAAGAACAGGACTCTGATGATAAAATTAACCTACTTTTAAATTCACTTTTTATTCAAGCAGCATATTTCCAAGTATTTTCTTTCACATATTTCTTCAAATTCTCAAAACAACAAAGAATAGGTATGGCAAATGTAAGCCAGAAAGGACTTCTACACACACCAACACAAACAACGCACAAGATGTGCTTCCAAGAAAAAAGCAGTTCCATCGTGGTATGTCGGAAGGACTGAAGCAAAACATCCCTGTTCAGAGAACTGATTCTGTGAATGCTCAAACAAAATCTAGGACTAATTACTATTGCCTTTGTCAACGAGAAGCACACTATATCTGTGAAACAGCAAGTACAATTGTCCACAGCAGTGGAAATGAGCTACAACCCCATCACATGACTCAAGAGGCAGCATGCAGCCAATAAACACAGTAGCAATGAACTCCGGGGCTATGCTAATCTTGGCTGCTGATAGGAAAAAAAACTTTTTTAATATCTTAATATGTAAATAGTTCAGCATTCTTACCAAATACTCAAGGCCATAGTCAGCCTGTGCAACTCGGGTGCTGCTGAAAGTGTTAGTTTCAATGATGTCAGCGCCTGACAGCAAGTATTCCTGCAAGATATGAAAGAAAAAAGCTCCAAGACCTCCAGACATGAGACACAGAATGAAAGTAGCCCAATTCCTTTGTCCCATTCAGTTGATAAAGTCACAAATCATCTCCTAATTCAAGGCAGATCAAACTCTAAAGGCCTTATTCAAAAGCACAGGGTCAAAGCTATGGAAATGTTCCACGGAAACAATTTTCAGAGTTTCAGTGTCAGCCACACTTTTCTATTAACAAGTGACATTTATAGAGTCACCTCTGCCACGAAGTGCAGCACCTGGAGCACATTCTAGAATTCTGCACACAGTCCAATTCCCACTAGCAATCAAGGGCTGCTGGGGGCAGTCTCAGAATTCCAATTAAACAACAACAGAATACAAGCTTAGAAGAATTAAGTTTTGTGCAGATCTTATTTAAAGTTTAACTAATGGCCAAGATTCACAAAACATTTAAATCTTCTGCTCCACTTTGATTGTCTAATTCCCACTGAAATAAACTGAAATCAATGCAAACTGAAATATTTTTGCAGATTCTTTCCTGCATTTTTATAACCTCTATCAGTTGCCCTCTCCCCTCCCTAACTTCTCTTTCTGATCCCTTTGAATGCTTACATGATCCTTGCATATTCAAGGAAATTAAAACACTTGAAGTGCTAGTAAGTAAAAAATACTGATGCAGCCATTAAACATAAACCACTCAGACTTTCCTATAAGAGTAAGATGAACTCAGTGAGTTCAACACTGCAAATAAAGTCTTCATCCAACTGACACCAGAAAATAATTAAACTTGCTTTAAAACATATTTTTCTGCAAACAAATATGCTTTCTCACAGCTCCTCCTGAAAACGTACGAAAGTACCTACAAATAACTATATGAAAATATACAAGCTCTTATATGTCCACTAATAATCAAGTAATTAAGTTTCTGAAAAACAACTAAACACGTTAAATGTGTCCATCTTTTTACTAGATTTTGTTTAGTTCAGATCTGTCATTTTAGCAAAAGCTCTTTGACTTTACTGTCTACCACCGTAGAAGGAAATATGCTCAAATCAGGAAGATAATTTTTGCCTTTGAAAATATATCACATCTCTTACCTCTGAATCTGTCTTTGCCAGACAAGGTACAGCTAACACTTACTTTTCAAGTTACTGATACCTCTGAGATCTGACTCACTGAGTCATTAATTAAATTTTAAAAAAAAATCCACCCACCATACATATAGCAGAATCATAGCTACTCTGTAGAAATATTTTCATCTATTATTTCAAGCTCCTTCTGTCCAGTTCTCAGAAGAAATAACCACTGGTAGCTGTAAAATATGAAGCCATCACCCACTGCTCAGAAAGCACCTGACCCAATAGCTGCTGCAGTGCTGTTACAGGCACTCGTCCTAAAGCACCTGTAACTGGCCATCGGGGAGATAACAGCAGGCTATCTGGTTTGACTGAATACATATATTCTCAAGTCACATCACTACTACTCCACTAAACCTGCAAAATTCAGTTGTTAAAGCAGTTTATCCTATTAAAACCACAAACTAATATAAAGTCCAAGGTTCCTGACCACTACAGCTCAGTTGGTAGTGTAGGGACAGAACTCAGTCTACAAATACTTCCTCCTGAAATTTTTATAGGTCAAAGGCTGATTCTTTCCAGCTCATCATTCTTAAAATCCAAAGACTGACAGTTAGGATGTAAACAAAAACATACAGATTACCTACTAAGTTTAACAAACATAAGCCAAATGCGACTCTCATCAGTGAATTACAGATCTTGTTAATAAATAATTGGAAAAACCCAGAACAGATGTGAACCTTCAACCGAATAATAAATAGATGCATTCGAGCATTTCAATTATTACAGTAAGACCTACAAATACCTGCAGCTCAATAAATACAAGACTTAGGAAGTTGCTTTTTAAAGTCTAATTGAAGACAGGAAAATAATGAAATCTGTTTGCAAACTCCTAATCATCAGCAGTTTAGACTGTTTTATCCTCTGGGCCACACATTAGTATTCTAGGTAAAACCCAAGAATACGGAAGCAGGAATGCTCATTAGGAAGCCCATACATTCATTAACTATGGAGAGGCCTTCAGGCTGCCACATTTAACAGCTCTTTAGCACGCAATTATAGAAATGCATCTAGAATTCCGATATGTCCTAGTTAGATGCATTTCTAGTGCTGGCTGAGGAGAAGAAAAGGAAATAAAAATGAAATAAAACAGAATCTACAATTAATAGAAATACATTAGGGACATAAGTCAAAAAGGGATTTAAAAACAGCACTGCCTGGGTGACATCAGGAACCAAGACACGAATGCTATGCTCACACAACCAGAACAGTCAAATCTGCTCATTCTTTTTCGCATGGTTACCTAGCACTCTCTTCCCTATTCCCAACAGACGCAGGAGAGCCAGCAGCCTGTGGTATGGAAAAGGGGAGCGCAGAGGCCAAATTCTCCCTCCTTCTCTTGTCAAGAGACAGAAATCAGAACCACCTACCTTGTGTATGTCACAGATTATATCAGGTTGAGTTATACTAAGAAGGTCATTATTGCCTTTTAAAGGCCTGGAATGATCTTTAAATTCATGCCCTCGGAAATCCTCTTCTGACAGGGCACGTTGCTGAATCATGGTCCCCATGCCTCCATCCAAAACCATTATTCGCTCCTGCAGAATGGATTCAATTTCATCTTCCACACTTTTCTGGGGATCTGTTGTAAGAAAATTAACCAAATATTTAAGTAGTTCTGAAATGCTCTATCTATACACTTGTGCAACCTGAGCTCTTCCCATTCGAGAAATGGAATAAAATAACTAATCCTCCACTGAAATCAGAAGTAATTGGTTTACTTCACCTACAGTTCCAATAACCTGATGTCAGGTAACAGCTGCATCTATCTAAATAGAATTAAACCCAACTGGTCCTTTACTTAAGTATAGTCACCTGCACACAATCAACCACAGATAAAATTATTATCAAAAGCTCACAAGGGCATATGTCAAACTCTCTATATAAACTTCCACCAGAGCAACATTTGAGCAGCAACACAGAGCTGCCCTTTGGTACAGACACCAGACTGTAAGTGCTATGCAAGTGCAAACCAGAAATTACTAAACTTCATTAAAAAAGAATCACACCTACTTTAATTGTCTATATCATAATGATAGAAAAAGAGAAATAAACTGAACAAGCAAAAACAATTCAACTGAGTCCCAAATTTACTCAAGTCCCAAATAACAACATGGCAAACGCCAAGATACACCAACAGATAACAGCCAGGCTTTACTTTCTTTTGCACAAACACAGCAAGACATTTTTCTCCTCCACAAAAACGCCAGAAGGAAACAAAGCAGGCAAATCACATGCTAATTACAAGATACTTGACAGGGTAAATCTAACCATGACTGAAACAGAAAACTGTAGGAATTTCAGCGCTATCATTAGGAATGAAGATACAGTACTATAATGCTTCAAGATCCCAAACAAAGACCATTCCAAACATTAGAGAAAAAGTCAGAACTATAATCAGAGGCATAAAAAAATCCCAACCAACCAACCAAAACCAAACAATAAAACAAAAAAACCCAACTAACTACAAAAAAAAAAAACCAAGACCACGACCAAGTAATTCCACTTTTCCTCTTTAGTACACAGAATCATTTCAGAATAAAGACACACATACAGAATCACTTAGTGGGTCAGGTTGGAAGGGACCACAGTGGGTCATCTGGTGCAACCTCCTTGCTCAAACAAGTAATCCTAGAGCACGTGGCACAGGACTGCATCCAGACAGTTCTTGACTATCGCCAGTGAGGGAGGCTCCCACAACCTCTCTGGGCAACCTGTTCCAGTGCACACTTACTCACACAGTATGGAAGTTCTTCCTCATATTCAGATGGAACTTCCCATTCATCAGTTTCTGCCTGTTGCCTTTTGTCTTACTGCTCAGCACCATCCAGAATAACCTGGCTCCACCCTCTTGGCACCTTCCCTTCAGATACTTACAGGCATTGATAAGGCTGTACATATCACAAAATAATCAAACAGCCTCTTTATCAAAAACCCAAACTACAAGAGTAGGACCCCACTTACCTTTCACAAACATGTAGATGAATGATGTGCTATTCTTTATCTGTCTCCTTCATTCAGCTTGGGCTTACTCTAAGTAAAGACCTGTATTGCTTTCTGGTTATAAACTATCATCAAAACCCTTGTAAAAAACTAATGATTTCTGAGTCACAAAAATATCCTTATGTCTCATTACAACTTAAGTACAACTTACTACTACACACAGTAGTACTTAAAAATCACTGGCAACTGCTAACTCATTTGACTTTTTTCCTTTTGCATTCTTGCAATGCAACTTCTGTTTTGGCAACAGTACGGTTAAAAAACAATGTGATGAAGAGAAGCTGAGGCTAAGAGGAAAGCATTACAAGGTTACATTTATACCAATACTCTGGAAAACAGCTCTAAATCAGATAAAGTCTCAGCATGAAGAGAAGCCAAACAAAATTTGCTCTCTAACAAGTATGAAGCATTTGAAGGGAGATTAAAATACCAAAAAGCAAGCCACCCTCATTTCAAGTTGAAAGTTTTAACACCACACAGGCAGGCTCAGCAGGTTCTTACACAAGAGCTTAAACCTACTCACGTTAAACCATCAAATTATTCATGAAAATAAAATTGGTCCTTGAGCTAAAGGCTTTTAGAAGCAAGACACAAAAAATCGTATCTGAAAGTAGGTCTGCAATGCAGGCTCCCATGGCGCGTAACTCGTGCTCTGCAAGAGCTACAGCCCGATGAGACACACACATACATTAGAGCTTGCTGTTGTTTTAATGAGCCTTCTAAGTCAACTCTTTGGCCTCAAGAGCTGCAGCTGAGATGGGCTATCAGAGCCTTCCCAGAGCAAGTCCTGCTTTCTAGAGGCTTCTATTCCTTTTACCTACATGCTTCCTAACTATCTTCTCGTAGACACAGGGAAGGAAAGATCTACCCTTTGGTTGTAATCCTGCACCTCATCTAGTCCATTTTGCTTTCTCTACAGCTTGCCTTGCTGAACAGATCCTGCTTTGGTGCATGGTTTTCTGCTCACAGGAGCACATATCTCTGCTTCATCGCTGCAAAAGCATTATTCTGAAGTTACCCAAACCCGTGCTTCTTCATCAGCATCTCAAAAAGCTGAAGAAATAGGGCAGGAATCATGAAGGTGGCCATCAGCGCCAGAGATATGCAGAGCCTATGTTTTACAGATGGATGGTATAGCTCCAAGTCCACCAAAATTCAAATTACCTGTCCTTGCTATAGATAACACTTGACTCTTCTTCCATCAGGAGCTTGCACTATTTGAGTCGTGCTCTGGCACACTTATGATACAATTTTCAAAGTCGGAAACTAAGTCTACAGACAGGTCCAAAAACACCCCAGAATTCAAAGAAGATTGATTCATAAAGCCATGCTAGGAAGTGCTGAACTCTGCCCTTGGAAGAAAAGCAGGGAGGAGGCAGGGAGGAGGGTGGGAGGAAGCTGGGAGTCAGGTCTGCAAAAAAGCGCACCATCACCTTAATTCAGCATTCAACTCACATAATTCCTCTCTCCAGCAAACAACGTGCAAGAGTTTGTTACAAAATAAATGAAAAAAAGGTCTGGAGAAATTCCTAAATTGGGAAAAATCAGGTCAGCCTTTTTTGTTGTTGTTGTTTTTGTTTACAAACCCTGATTCTACCTCTGCTCAGGCAAAAAACTATTAAAAGTAACAAGACCTAGGACCAATTACCTTGATTTTACACTCTTCTGAAACTTAAAATATAACACAGAGTGCTCTAGAGCTGGAACCATACCAAATAGCAGACCATACCAAATGAGCAAAAATGTCCCAACAGCACTGGCCTGAAAGTCAGTGGGATACAGAACCCTGCTTCACTTTCCCAAGGTAAGTGCTCTGGCTTGAGATCACATGAACAAGGGAATTACTCATCTGCAAAAGAAAATTATCTGAGCTACAAGAACTTTTACTCCTTGTAGATCTTTCCAAGTAAATTTGCATAGCGCATAAGGTGTCTCTTTGGTAAAGCTTTTCACCCCTACAGTCATTCACTAACAATTATAAACTTCACACAACTGTATGTAATCTTCCATTTTTCAAAACGTAGCAATTAAACAGTCCAGGAGCACAGTAGATGATGTTTGTTCATCTCCTTATCCTGACCCAATGACATACAGGCCATATATGAAAAATTAAAGGGATAAATGCATGTTCTCCACAAGAAACAGGACTTCAAAGGTTGCAAATTCCTCAAAAATACATTCTTCAGATGCCTGAAATGATTGTCAAAGGTGTTGTTTTTTTATTATTTATGCACTTCTATTACAAATTTATTCTTAGTATAAAACAGTCTGGTATACAAGTACTTGGAAGGGAATAAATGACTACAAGTTTCTTCCAAAACTTTTATAGAGGATTGGCCTAGCTGTGACAGTGCTGAAGCCTTTTCATCACGTTAATGTGCAAGAACACAAATTGAAGAACCACATGGAGGGATAGGCACTTAGTACCCCCTATTTCCTAGGCTGACCAGCTCCTGTCTTAAAGGGCAACAGGGCCATTCCACATTTGCACATTCTAATTCAACAAACCAGTGTTGCCCCATACCAGCTCCAAGCACAAGTTTGCCCATCATTCAAAAAAAAAAATCACTGCACAACGGCTAGAAAGGATGCTCTTGCTATCAGTCTGCCACAGGCAGCTCATGATAACCTCAGCATTATTTGCTGTTTAATTAATTAAGTCTTCTTCCACTGGGTGCCCTCAGGCAACAGTAAGAGTTTCATGAACTGTAGCAAAGGATGGCACACAGGTCCTCTGCAACAGTGGGCAGCAGCACCCCATTGCTAAGTTATTTGTTACCCAGTCTATCCAAAGAAAGAAGCATTGGATTTTACCACTTCACCTTGGGCACCTGTGTGCACCTTGCTAACATCTTCTATGTTGGCACTTGCCTTCAGAACCATTCAGGTCTTAAAGTAACAGACAGACAAGATACCTCTATAGCCAATGTATTTACAAAGTTAGCTTGAAAGGCAAACAACTACCACTAAAGTCACCGAATTCTTAGTATAACAGTTCTGTAGTGTCCACTATCTCTAGCCAAACACGCAAAACCCATGCTTACAAAGCTCCTGTGTTATAACCACAACTGTCCATCTTCTGACATTAAACTGTTCACAACAGATATTCATTACAGGCAGGAATCACCAGGAAACAAACCGTCTTCCAGATCAGCACTGCCCCTGAAAGGCTAGGGAGAAGCACTGTGCTCAGCTTCCCGATGGCCCACTCCTGAATGCAGGTCCTTTGTATCACTGCCAGATGGACACACCATTACCTACTGCCTTGTGCCTGCTCAGTGGGGCTCCACAAACATCCCCAGCACACAATTTTTGCTTCCATCTACACAGAACTTCTCTTCAACTGCCACCACTTCTCCAGGTGCTGCTGAAATACCTTCCCATCTCTCCCATTTCAGCCAAACTCATTCTGTTCTGCAGCAGGAGGACAGTCATGGCCTGACCCCAAATGACACGGGAGAAACGGCAGGGCAGGTCAGCACCAGCATCTTTGCCAGAGGAACCTGGAAAAGCCTCAGACCACAAAAGCTGAGTATGGAGTCGGTGCCGGTGCAGGCCTGTTCGACAAGCCAAGGGATGCAATCCTGAGCGAAGTACAGGCTCAGCAGCAGGCACTCCCTCCGAAATATTAAAAAGGAAAGTGCTTGGGATCTCTTCAGGCAGCAGCTGCCACTGACGGAGCTGTCCATTTCAAAATACCAACAACGATAATCAGCAGCTACAACTTTACTTTTCCTCCCTTACTTATCCTTACGGGACTTCTGTTCAACCCGCGAAACGACACTTTTGGCTTAGAGCCTCGGAGCAGCTGGTACACACCCAGTCCCTACTACCGAGCTCCGGTTTTTATTTTCCCGACATAACTGTGTCGGCGGACAGGGCGGTGCGGGTATCCCTGCGGTACCTCCCGACCCGTTCCAGGCAGGGCGCAGCTGCTCCAAGGGGCCGGCTCAGCGCCGGAGGCTCCGCCAACAAGAGCACTCACTCACTGCACACCGACCCGCACAAAGCGCTTCTGCAAGGTTTACAAGCGACTGCGTAAGGCCGCCCGCCTGCACCGAGGCCGCTTTAGCACCCCCAGAAGCCGGAGGGAGGGCGCGCCCGCCGAACCCTCACACCGACGCCGCGCCGCCGCCATTTCCCCCCCGCGGGCGCCGGCGCTCGCGCACGTTACGGGGCGGCCCGTGGGCGCACATCGCTGCCGAGACGTCACCGCCCGCGGCCGCGGGGCCCGCGCGCAGCCCGTGACGCGCGAGCTCCGCCCCGAGCGCGGGCAGGAAGCGCGCGCTGCTCTTGGCCCGAGGGGAGCGTGATCCGCCTGTCACACCCACACAGACACACAGACACAGACAGACACACAGACACAGACCGGAGTC